TGTGGTGGGAAGCAATGTACCTCCAGTTAGAGTAAGGTCATCAACCTGAAATGTCTGTGGTGGGAAGCAATGTACCTCCAGTTAGAGTAGGGCCATCAACCTGAAATGTCTGTGTTGGGAAGCAATGTACCTCCAGTTAGAGTAGGGCCAAGAACCTGAAATGTCTGTGGTGGGAAGCAATGTACCTCCAGTTAGACTAGGGTCAACAACCTGAAATGTCTGTGGTGGGAAGCAATGTACCTCCAGTTAGACTATGGTCAACAACCTGAAATATCTGTGGTGGGAAGCAATTTACACCTCCAGTTAGACTAGGGTCAACAACCTGAAATGTCTGTGGTGGGAAGCAATGTACCTCCAGTTAGAGTAGGGCCAACAACCTGAAATGTCTGTGGTGGGAAGCAATGTACCTTCAGTCAGAGTAGGACCATCAACCTGAAAAGTCTGTGACCTCAAGTTCCTCCTTGGGATGTAAATCCAGTGCCAAGTGCCAGTGTAAATCAGTAGGTAGGTGTAGGAAGGGTTCTAATGGGGAAGGTTTTTTTCATACCTCAGCCCCACTCTTCTCAAACCTTCTGCAATTTGATTGAGTGAGGATGAATGGTCATTGGTAGGAATGTTCTAACATGTTAGGTCGATGAGAGACCTCAAAGTTGAATGGAATGTTGCCAGTGTAAATCAGTAGGTAGGTGTAGGAAGGGTTCAATGGGGAAGGGTTTTTTCATACCTAACCCCACTCTTCTCAAACCTTCTACGATTTGCTTGAGTGACGATGAATGGTCATTGGTAGGAATGTTCTAACATGTTATGTCGATGAGAGACCTCAAAGTTGAATGAAATGTTGCCAGTGTAAATCAGTAGGTAGGTGTAGGAAGGGTTCAATGGGGAAGGGTTTTTTCATACCTAACCCCACTCTTCTCAAACCTTCTACGATTTGCTTGAGTGACGATGAATGGTCATTGGTAGGAATGTTCTAACATGTGAGGTCGATGAGTGACCTAAAGTTCCTCCTTTGGATGGACTGTTGCCAGTGTAAATCTGTAGGTAGGTGTAGGAAGGGGCTCTATGGTGAATGGTTTCTTTCAATCCTAACCGCCCTCTTCTCAAACCTTCTACAGTTGCTTGAGCGATGATCAATGGTCATTGGTTTGAACTTGATGTTGATCAGATGTCACACATGTGACACTGAGGTCACATATGTCACACATCACACAGAGGTTGCACATGTCACAGAGATCACACAGAGGTCGCACATGCCACACAGAGAGGTCGCACATGTCACGAAGAGGTCACACCTGATGACAAGGTTCAGTTACTCTGACATATTTTGTTTGTTTTGTCATTCTGGTTTATTCAGGTTTGTAAGTCCCATTCTCTTTTTTTGTCTACAGATTTCTTGAAACTGTTTTTTCAATACATGTATCACCTTGTATGAGAGTCGTGAACAACATCAGATTTGTTTATTACTTTGTATTGTAAGTATTACACATGGACACACTGTCCTAACTTTATCCAGGTATCTAAGAATATGCATATTGGATTTTCCCCCAAACTTTGATTGTTTCACCCTAATGTGAAATATTTTACACATATGGCTTGTTTCCAGTATTTTATTGGTAAATAAAATAATTTTCTGAACAATGTGATAACATAAACTTAATCAAAACATTGTGTGCTATTTGTTTGTGATATATATTGGTATTTATATATACTCATGCCAATATGGTTGTCACCCCCATTCAATTTTTTTAATTGGTGAGGGGTGTGAGGTGTGGTGGGAGGGGGTGACAACCATTATTGGCATGAGTATATATATTTATGCCAGAGCAATGCTTCGCTCTATTGAGATTTGTACTGCCTTGATGTGCTTAACATTACAACTGGGTATGTTGTGGATGGATGAAAGAATTTTGCACAATATTTGTTCCAGCTTTTTACACTGTTTTATCAGCAGTGCAAAGATTTTTTGGGAAAATGTGATGACATAAATTTTATCAAAATATTGTTTCTGTTATATATTGTTACTTTTATGTATATCTATATGTATGTTTGTGCTAAAGCAATCCCTTATTATTTTGAAGATTGTACTGTCTGAAATGTGCTTTCAGCTACAACTGCTGATGTTTCAGATGGCTAACCTTGGTTTACAATGGTGATGATCTTATTGATGATGGTATGATATGCAAGACTGCATGATACTGATAAATATACAGTTATAGTTGTCCTGTGACAGTGTGGTAATATCAATCAACTCCTCACTAGAGCTGGTGCTGTTTGATATGTTGTCTTGACAGTGTGCAGACTGTGTGATGCTGTACATATCTGCAGAATAATGGTGAAGCTTTGTTGATGGTGATCATAATGATCATGCCCTATAATGATAGGATAATGATCATTTGGCATGGTAATAAGATGATGATGATGATGATGATGTAATAAGATGATGATGATGTAATAACATGATGCTGCAGCTGCTGCTGCTGCTGATGTAATAAGATGATGATGATGATGATGATGTAATATGATGATGATGATGATGATGATGTAATATGATGATGATGATGATGTAATCTGATGATGATGATGTAATAAGATGATGATATTTACATAAGATGGTATGCTGCTATATCTATTGCATGAATACATGAATATTCAAATGGATATCATAACAGTGTATTTACCATTATATCTTTTGAGATACAAATCTACATGGATATCATGTAACATCTAGTTACAAGATGTTATGCTCACATTTTATTTCAATTTTATTTACCTCTTGCAGTACAAGATACACAATAAAACCATTAAACTATCATCTTGTTTTGTTGTATTTAATCATCTGACTAAAGAACTTAAGAATGTTATAGACAATGTCAGAGATTATATTTTAGCTACACAGAGTGGACCGTGATTCATAGGCTTCTGGTATTCCACGGGAGGTAAATGTACTGTGAATTCCTGTCACTTGTTTGAAACTGAAGTGAGTGTGAACAGAATGATATTGACTTTGCAATGTTGGGCAAAATGTTCAGACTTAAGACACTTTCATGATCCCGGGGCCAGCAACCCATGCTTGTCCTACTGATGGGATCGGATGGCCTGGCTCGTTGCATGTCATCGTATCCCAGTGGCGTTGATCTATGCTCATGATGTCAATCACTGGATTGCCTGGTCCAGACTCCATTATTCACATAGCTGGAATATTGCTGAGTGCGGAGTAAAACTGAAGGAACTCACTCACTCACTGTCATGACCCTGAGCCCCATCTGGTTAGTCACCTCTTAGGACAAGCATGGCTGTGAAGACACATTCACATTCTAATCCAGACCTTCAAGGGACTTGACAGATGGATGCTCTTGGTGTCAATCACTGGATCGTCTGGTCGAGGCCTGATTACTCTCGAACCGTCGTCCTATGGTTGAAATGTTGCTAGGTGCTGCTTAATGAACAATAAACAAACATGAACTATTATCATGATCATAATTTATTGGTAAGCCACTTTATATTATTACTCATCACACTTTAATATATTGATCAATGGAGAATCATCAGACCCTCCTAGGGATTCATAATTCACATTTACACTGCTTTGATAAAAAACAAAACAATCATTGTAGAAATGTCCACCTTCGTATAATGATCACCAACAGAACTTGATAGACAAAATCAAGATGTTTACAACCAAGGGAAGTAACTCTCATGTGTACCTCATCAACATCAGCAGCAGCATTGGCCATTTGTCTGTCAGCATTATAGTAATTGGGTTTTAAAAAGTACACCTCAAGCACGTGTGCATGTTCGCCACTGTTGTTGTGTTTATTTTTGTTTAAATGCCGCACTCAGCAATATTGCTCGTATATGATGGAGTCTTGACCGGATAATCCGGTGATTCATGAACGATCAACGCCGTCGGGATAAGATGATATCAAATTAACCGAGTCACAGAGCCTGAGCTCTGAAAATTGCTTTATCACTCCTCTCGGATCTGTTCTTCAACATCAGGGCCCCGTTTCTAAAGCTATCGTAGCACAAAGACTGCCGTACCTCCTATACTGAAACATACGACTTACGACAGTCGTAGCGCTACGATAGCTTTGTGAAACGGTGCCCTTGGTTAGAACTGGCCACGGGATCATGAAAGTGTCTTAAGTCAATATTTTGTGCGTGTAGGTGCCTGGTGGTCTTCTTTCACTACAACAACTCCCGGACATGCTGATAGCATTCTGAGAAGAGCGTGCATTGCCAGGATTCAGTCTTAGCCCGAGTCTTAGCTAAGCAACAACAACAAAAAACACAAAAAAGCAAACAAACTTAAGACAAATTTCGAGCTAAGCAATTTTCAGACTTAAGACACTTTCATGATCCCGGCTGGGTTACGCAAAGTTGAAAATATCATATTGCAGAGAGGCACTCAACAAATACAAAATATATTTTGTATTATGCAGTAATGTTAATGAAATGCACCTACAAATTCCTTTAAATGACACCAAGACCATTGCCCGAGTCACACACTCATATTGAGTGAATTGTCAACATAATTTTTTAGGGGTATAGTCTGGGCTGGAGGGGTATACTTTGGCCTGGTCCAGAATATACCCCCGGGGTATAAACTGGGCTAGCCTATAGTTTACCCCGGGGTATAATCTGGTGGGGGGTATTCTGGGCTGCTACACCGGGGCCAGCAACCCATGCTTGTCCTACTGATGGGATCGGGGGCCTGGCTCGTTGCATGTCATCGTACCCCAGTGGCGTTGATCTATGCTCATGATGTCAATCACCGGATTGCTGGTCTAGACGCGATTATTTACAGACCATCGCCACATATCTACAAACAGCGCGGCGTTAAACAACAACTAAATAAAAAAAAATAAAACCAGAACATCGACATATGCAGCTCAGTTTTTAGAAACAATTCTGTCACCACTGACCTTTATAAATGTCAGGATACATCCGGAGGAAGGACAGTAACCGTTATGTGCAACTGATAGTCCGCAATGATAATCTACACTGATGCCGGTGATGCCCGGGATTGAATAGAAGCATCCTCAAACCTCACATCCAGCCATGAAGAGCTGCAGCGTGTTGGCGTGGTTCCTGCTAATGGTGCACAGTAAGTTGATCGCGGTGACAAATATCTGTTCTGTGCCATCGTGTTTTCATATGTTACATTAGTGATGTCCAGTTTTGTGGGTTTTTTTTCGCACTTGACTAATGTCGTACTCAGAACCACAGTGGCCTGTAAATATCATTTTATTTTGCATCGAGAAGATCCGAGTTAGAATTGATCTTCAGCAATTGATGCTTGTCGTAAGAGTTGACTTAGAGGAACGGGGGTCAGGCTTGCTGACTTGGTTGACACATGTCATCGTATCCCAATTGCGTAGATCGATGCTCATGATGTCAATCACTGGATTGTCTGGTCCAGACTCGATTATTTACAGACCATCGCCATATAGCTGGAATATTGCTGAGTGCAGTGTTAAACAACTAACAAACATCATATGTAATTGCATCAGAGCTGTCCAGTTTTATGTTGTTATTTAGCTCTTGTCGACCGGGACCGCCTCCGTGGTGTAGTGGTTAGAGCGTCCGCCCGGAGAGCGGAAGGTCGCGGGTTCGATCCCCGACTGCGTCATACCAAAAGACGTTAAAATATGGTACTTGTTGGTCCCTGCCTGGCGCTCGGCATTAATGGGTACAACAAGGACTGGTCGGCTCGGAGTCAGTATAATGTGTCTGAGTGGGGTATTCATGCTTCACTGCGGCATGGTATCTCAGTGGGCTAGCACTATAAAACCAGCTTCAGTCTGGGCTAGTACAAGCAGCCGCACATACACATACACACGCATGCACGTCGTCATATGAGCGAAATATTCTCAAGTACAACGTTAAACCCAATTTCATCTCACCTCACCTCACTTGTCGACCGATATCGTACTTAACAATATTCCATATGTATATGACGGCGACTGGTAAATGTCATTGTTTTATTGCAAAATATGCCTGAAACGGCATACATTTTAATACATCTTTCTGAATTCTCTGAAAAATTAAATATACAATGTTGAAATTTACCATATAATTCTTTCAGAAAAATATATATGATGTTTACAGGTCTGTAGGACATTATATTCATGGTCAATATTTTGCCATCTACCCTTGTTTATCGCATAGGTGAAATATCACATTTTGATAGATAAACATTGTGTAAATGGCTGTTATCGTAAAGACTCCAACATCTTTCAGGTTCAAACATCGTCACATATTCTGTATACATCACACTTCGGGTATCATTGTTGAATGTTGAGATCCACTTTGACGGAATGTTGACATCCACTTTGACGGAATACATTGACAAACTTTGACGGAATATTTTGAAAGGTTGTATAAAGAGGCTATCTCAATGCACGAATAATAAGTATCATGGATAACTTCTGTATAGTGCACGGCAGTGCAAGTTTGTGTTTGGCTTCGTTGATGATAATTTGATTCCAGTTCCAGGTTGTGTGGAGGGAGCAAGCAGTTATCGTGAGTAGACATATATTCGGGATGAGTAGCTGAGTCAGTATGGTTTTACGCCGATTTTAGCAACATTCCAGCTATATCACGGTGAAGGAGATCAGAAATGGGCTTTACACATTGTACCCATGTGGGGAATCGAACCCGGGTCTTCTGCGTGATGAGTGACTGGGTGAGCTTATTTTTACGCCGCTTTTAGCAATACTCCAGCAATTATACAGCGGGGGACACCATAAATGGGCTTTACACATTGCACCCATATGGGAATCGAACCCGGGTCTTCGGCGTGATGAGCCAACACTTTAACCACGAGGCTACCCCAACCGCACCAGTGATAACAAGGTGACCTAATTACACGCAGAAGCCGATGAAGCAGTCACTTAAAACCCTCTCAAATGTGTTTGTATAATTTGTATCAGTATTTATCTTCATTATCATTTGAGTGAGTGAGTTAAGTTTTACGCCGCCACCGTGTTCCAGTTCTATCCGGGCGCATCAGCTCAATGTGATAGAAAATCCCGAACTGATGCAGGTCTCAGACGTGTATCACTTGGTGAAACCCAGGCATGGGTATGGTGTATACAAGTCCAGAAACATATTTGGGACGAACCTGGTTTCAAACCTACAATCATAGGTTCCTTGCTTGCCCAAGGGACGCAACTCTTCGCCGGGGGCGCCTTAGACGATTGTGCCACCCATGACACAGTTAACAACACATAGGCGATGTGTTTAGGTTAAAACAATTTTTAGCAATATATTAGTCTGTATTTTTAAATATGTTCAACGAAATAGGGCTTTTTTTATAGATATGTTTTCTCTATCTTTTTCATGTTACTGCTGATATATTTTTAAAAATTTGTCACATGAATCATGATGCATATATTACAATATAAAACGGAAATGTGACTGTACAATTTGACTTTTTGGTCAGCATAGAAAACAAAGTGCCAGTTTTATAATCATACAAAAGGATGTCAATAAATGTTAGAGAAAACTAAACCGCGTTGTGTCCATGTGTATTGGATTTTATAGTTTTAATCAGCTGTAATACGTGTACACAGCATGGCTGTATACCAAGTAACCAGATTAGGCATCAGCACCTCCGAGTTGACGTAACACTTGATAAGGTGAGCTTCTGTACCTATGGTTCTCTGGTTATGAATAATTTTATGCTTCCATTATGACAGCTCGGTTACGATTGCGCCACGGGCCCAACAAGGAGCTGATTCTACAGAGAGATGTTGAACAAGACGAAGAGGTAAGGAGGCTTCAACTGTCAGCGTAGGGCTTCATGGGACATTACTGGTATACTGAGACAGAGGCTGTCTAGGAACAGATGATATACTGGAACGGTGGTTATCTGGGCACAGATAATATACTGGAACGGAGGTTATCTGGGCACAGATGATATACTGGAACGGAGGTTATCTGGGCACAGATGATATACTGGAACAGGGTTATCTGGGCACATATGATATACTGGAACGGAGGTTATCTGGGAACAGATGATATACTGGGACAGAGGTTATCTGGGCACAGATGATATACTTGAACGGAGGTTATCTGGGCACAGATGATATACTGAACGGAGGTTATCTGGGTACAGATGATATATTATGATGTAGAGTATTATGGAGGTTATACTGAGGCAGAGGCTATATGGGAACAGATGATATACTGGAACGGAGGTTATCTTGGCACAGATGATATACTGGAACGGATGTTATCTGGGCACATATGATATATCTGGGCACATATGATATACTTGAACGGAAGTTATCTGGGCACAGATGATATACTGGAACGGAGGTTAGCTGGGCACAGATGATATATTTGGACAGAGGCTATATGGGAACATGATATACTGGAACGGAGGCTATATGGGCACAGATGATATACTGGGGCAGAGGCTATATGGGCACAGATGATATACTGGAACGGAGGCTCTCTGGGCACAGATGATATACTGCGACAGAGGCTATATGGGCAACAGATGATATACTTGGACAGAGGCCATATGACTACAGAGGGTATATTGGGACGTATATCACATTCAGGTTCGCTTATATCCATCCATCCATTCATTATCTCCAGCGTCACCTATCTCTTAATAGGCGCATTTGTTTACCGTAAGAAGGTCAAAATAAAATAAAACATTATATTGCAATACACCCAGTGCCGTGATATAACTGACACTGATCTCAAAAGAGTGCTGGAAATGGGGTACTACTACTAGGCCTTATTTCCTTAAAGTTCATATTCAGTTTTCCCAGGGACAATCATCCAGCGCTTCAACCTAATTTCCATATGATATATGATGATATCACTTCAAAAATACATGTAGGTATTTTATTGCATATAAATAGCGAAATTAAGTTCAATTACTGCCTCTGTATCGCGGCACTTAAATAGAGCCCGTAAGTCTAGCCTGATTTCCGGTGACAATCGTATATTCAAGAACCAGTTCTGTTTCAAAAGTGCGCGACCACCAAACATGACTTTACTAGACCGGTACCAAGAGTACAACAATGCTTGGCTGTCACAGCTGTTGACAGTCGTAATAGTTGGCTAATTTGGGGATGGTTAGATCGGAAATTTGTTTTTCCTGCAAGGAGTATCGGTTACTTACTGTCAACTGACAACCCTGAGACAATTCGAAAAGGTATGAAACGTTGTTCGTCACCGGAAGTACTAAGGTTTCGCGAAGTGCCATGACCAACTTACATCACCTATAGTTAAAGGTCTGTCTGATCCGACCTTTGTGAAGCCCTTTCATGGTGCGAGAGTTCAGGTCTTCGTGATTGGTTGCAATCAGATTTAGTTGTGCAAAAGGCGACGTTGTTGTCGTAAAAGGATCATTCGCAACGGACTCGGTAATCAGGCTCGCTGCTTCTTGAAAACACTTGAACCTCGGTTCCCAATGCGCAGATACGCAAACGCTCATGCTGTTCAGATCACTGGCGGATCAATGGCGTCACCATCGCCCTTATTGACAACTGACCGCCGCCATTAAATGTCTTGCTGTGTCACATCAACACAAGTCCCCGGCAGAGAAGAGGGATATTTGAGGTCCATTTTACTTGCATCGATATAACACGTGTTCTGATTGGGATAGAAAGAAGTGAGGTAATTCGTGTTGCAGGTTTTGCCGCTAGGGGATTTTAAGAGAACCGGAAATATGACCCCGACAGAGTCTTGCAGGAAGATAAAACAAGTAACTTGTTGGAGTGCGGCGTAAAACTAGTTTAACTCACTGTGTGATCCAGGAGGAGGATGTCCTATCCGTCCGGAAGCGGTGCGAATGTCGCTGTCGTAGTAGGGTGCACAACAGCGACTGGGAGTGCTGCCCATGTCCCTGGACTAACCAGGTTTGTTTCCCCGGTGACGCCACACTTACACTGGAGGATGGCACTGATATCCCAATGAAGAACCTCAGAGCGGGGCACAAGGTGAAAACAGGTACATGATATGGATGTGGAATGGGACAGTGGTGGGCAGTTGTGTAGGGGTGAATGAATGCTATTTTAAGGCACATTTTCGATACACTTATATGTCGACACCTGTAAATACGATTGAACCCATGTTTGTCGCAAGAGGCGACCAACGGGATCGGGTGGTCAGGCTCGCTGACTTGGTTGACACGTATCATCGTGTCCCAATTGTGTAGATCGATCCTCATGCTGTTGATCACTGGATTGTCTGGTCCAGACTCGATTTTTTACAGGCCGCCGCCATATAGCCGGAATATTGCTGAGTGCGGCGTAAAACTAAACTCACTCGCTGCTGAACCGACAGACATGGATTATTGTATTCAAACGTCGTTGTGTCGAACATTGATGTGTCGTGAAGTTAAACTATGTTCGCGTACATTCCTCAATAATCATCATTTGTGTCGAACCTCTGATAACTCGAAGTATTTATGTTGGTCTAATTCGACACAACTACAATGGACTGTTTTGTCATATGACTGGAATCATACGTTGCCCAAGTTGCATTGACAGTCAAAATATGTTTTATTGTTTTTCAGTTTTGTACAACATTATCCCACACCGCAAACCTAAGCATAAACTACATTCTGATACGTGGGGTATTTGCCACAATACGTGAACCATAGGCAAGCTGCAGCGCAAATAGTGTTGCGCAACAGAGAGAAAAATGGCCAGTCTTTCTATATGCGAGGGATAGGAAGACCGGTCATATTTCTCTCTGTAGCACACCATTATTTGCGCTACAGTTTCCCTGTTTGTGAACTGTCAATATATGATTTCGTCTCTGTTATTCAATGTCACCTAAACAATGTCACCTAAACTGTTTACTTTACAACGTGAGAAATGCTGGACTTCCTCGTCTATAACATATTTGTATCACCTATTTTGTATTTTGTTTAACGCCGCACCTAGCAATCTGCCAGCTAAATGGCGGCGGTCAGTAAATGATCCAGTGATCAATATCATGAGCGTCAATATAAGCACTTGGGATGAGATGGCATGCAGCCGAGTCAGCGAGCCTGACCACCCGATCCCGTTAGTCACCTTTTACGACAAGCATGGGTAGCTTCATCCTCTATAATCTGCAGGGTATACGTTACGATCACTCTTCACTATACCCTGGATGCATCAACGGCTGGCTCCGCATTCTCACAGTAGCCAATCAGCTAAGCCGCTGTTACAACCGAGCTTGCCAGTGTCAACAAAGATCATTCGTGACCAACTCGTGTTATTCCGGGACAAGCCAAATATCTTCTTGCAGGTTACGGAAAGGGGCGAGTGGTGACGAATGAACAAAGATAGCATTCGTGACCAACTCGTGTTATTCCGGGACAAGCCGATCATCTTGGAGGTTACGGAAAGAGGCGAGTGGTGACGAATGCAAAGATAGCGGTCGCAGTCGCGAAGGTTTGTTCGCAGTGCCACTCAGATTTTGGGGGAAATAATACAAATTGACAGATCTGAAACTTTAAAAAAATATGTGAAAGAATTCCTTCTACCTCTTTCAGAGTACCTTTACATCAATTTTGTTGCCAAGTTTAAACGGTTAGATCATTTAAGAAGCGACAGTGAGTTGTGTTTGGTACGCTCAACTTCCCAGCGTAGACACATGATTGGATAAAAAGCCAAGCCGTGGATGCATCCAGGGTATAGTGGAGATTGATCGTAACGTATACCCTAGAGATTATCGAGGATGGGCTTGCTGGAGATCAATTCTAACTTGGATATCTATAAGGTTACATCATCTGGATCAATATCTCGTGTTCATGATCTTGTAGCTATTTGAGATATTTGAGACTGAAGTACTCAATGAACCTGATTTTTGTTTGTCCAGTTGCCAATGGCCAGGTGAGCTTCACCGAGGTGAAAACCTTTCTGAAACGTCAGCCAGCAAAGAGCGCCCTCTACCTGACGATATCCACGGCAAGTGGGCCAAGCCTGACTCTCTCCGGGCGCCATCTTGTTTTCGTCGCTACAAGCAACAACACTGACAGCATGCTACCACGGTAATTTACGAGCTGTCACGATCGGAATGCCATGCTCACGGTGCGATAATAGTATAATGATCGCAATGAATAGCTGTAAATTCAACGTCAATTTAGTAAGAGTTAAATGTCACACAGCAATACTACAAATAAATTACAAAATGTTTCCCTTAGTCTGAATACAGGGGCGGTGGGGTAGCCAAGTGGTTAAAGCGTTCGCTCGTCACACCAAAGACCCGGGTTCAATTCCCCACATGGGCACAATGTGTGAAGCCCATTTCTGGTTTCCCCCGCCATGATATTGCTGGAATATTGCTAAAAGCGGCGTAAACCCATACTCACTCACTTAGTATACGTTACTGTGGTCGAAGAGAAATATCCGTAGGCAATGTTAAACTTGGAATTTTACATAGCGTATTTTCCAATAAACAGCTGATCAAAAATGTCCATGATTGATCTGGTCAAAGGTTTTCTCGAAGTGTCTTTTTTTCTTCTCGAATTGTAAAATACTCATAACAAAAAGTCATGAGTGAGAATGTTTTTACGCCGCTTTTAGCAATATTCCAGCAATATCACGGCGGGGGAAAGCAGAAATGGGCTTCACACATTGTACCCATCTGGGGAATCGAACCCGGGTCTTTCACCGTGACGTGCGACCGCTGTAACCACTAGACTATCCCACCGCCCCTAGTTTATTGTATGACCGACGGACTCGTGTTAGTGGAACTAAAAAGATGAAACTAGAGGTCGACTAGGGCCCGTTCCACATAGTGATCTTAGTACTAAGATGATCGTTACTTGCATTATTTGACATAGATATATAACTTTCGTTGTGCATCCCTCGTCGCTGTATGGCTTAAATAATGATGATGCGACGCAAAGTCTTACTCGTTGTGCAAAATGTCGAGAATCGAACCCGGGTCTTCGGCGTGACAAGCGAACGCTTTAACCACTAGGCTACCCCACCGCCCCTCGCTTTGTGGAACGACGCCCTTTGACCCAATGATGTGTTAAGACGCAACATTGAATCTATATCACAACGGCATAAAAACAATCGTGCCACGCTAACTGGTGATTGATAGCATGAGCATCGATTCACACCGGCGGTGTATGGCGAAACAGACAGAACCTGGTGGCATATCATCACCATCATTTTACAAATCTGAACCGCGATCATTAAATGCGATAATTATCTTACAACTGACCAACATGATAAGGATAATTATCTAAATACCTGTTTAACAGATAACATGGATTGTCTGCATTTGTAAAGGCATACAGGGTCCCGATCCACAAAGCATTCGTAAAGTTACGACCAGTCGTAACTCTATACCTTATAAGGCTTTTGAATAGCATAGTGCTACGAATGCTTTGTGGATCTGGGCCTAGATTTTCGAAGCTCTCTTAGCGCTAAGATAGTCGTAAGTGCCATACATTAACATTAACTTACGACTATCTTAGCGCTAAGAGAGCTTCGAAAATCTAGGCCCAGGTTCATAATCGCCTCCCATGTGACGTCATCCTCTCTGTCCAGGTTCGCGCTGACCGTGAAGCCAGGGGACTACCTGTTCTCAACAGGGACCTGTGGGCAGCCTCTGTGTCCAGCCCTGGTCACTGACATTCAGCCTGTTGTCAAAGAAGGTAAGGATGACAATAACCAATCTATTATGAGTCGTTGAGTGAGTGAGTTGAGTTTCACGCCTCTTTTAGCAATATCCCAACAATATAACGGCGGGGGATACCAGAAATGGCTTCATACATTGTACCCATGTGGGGAGTCGAACCCGGGTCTACGAATGAACGCTGTAAATAATAGTAATTGTATAACAATAATAATAGTCCGCGTATATGGCGCTCATATCCAGGCACATTACCTGCTCACGGCGGTACGTACATTACTATCCCCGGTCATGGTGGACCATCGTACTATCTGATACTTTTTAACTCCCTGGGGATCATACAGTCATGCTGCCTGCTAGGAGCAATGAACTAATCTCTCGCATTGCCAGCACATCCTCACGGGTACCCATTTTACAGCTGGGTGAACTGAGACAGTGTGGATTCAAGTATCTTGTCCAATGAGAGTACGCAAATGTGCCTACCTTGGGACCCGAACCTACGTGCCTCCAAGGGGATCGAACAGGGGCATTCAGCGTGACAGGCAGACGCTTTATCACTGCACTATTGCGCTCAAACACTAGACTACCCCGCCGTCACGGACGAATCGTGTGATTGGCTGGCTGGACGGGACATGGCGAGGGAGAACCCCGGTGATTCACTGATATATTTGTCACGTCGAGTTTGCATTTACTCTAAATGGAATCTGTTTCCCCGAATAATCCAGATTGTTTATTCTCGGGTGTAAACGTTTCATATTTACACATACTTTTACCAGTGGAACATTATCAATTTTACATATTTCTATTTCGTTCATTTCTAGGCGTGTATGTGCCACTTACAGACGAAGGAACAGTTCTCGTTGATGGCGTCTTTGCTTCGTGTTACTCCTCTATCGACCATCATATTGCGCATGCGTTCACAGCGCCTTTCCGGTGGTTTCCATGGCTACTCAATTCATGGCAAAATGACGGCTATAGCCCACTTGTTGATTGGCTGAAGCAGTTCGGTCACATGATCTTACCAACAAATCGTCAATTTGAAGAGGTTGGGAATCCAGCTCTCCCTCAACTTCGTATAGAATTGTAATTGACAAAGAACATTTACATTTTCTTGCAGCAGGTTTTCATGTACCAGAAAGCGTTTCAGAAACGGGTTTAATCAAGTTTATACTACACAACATTCGATAGGGATATTCAGAGTGTGGGATGTAAACTGAGTGTGATTGGATGCTTGGAGATGGTGTTCCACAAGGATCATATCAGGTAAATGGAGTACATTCAGCTTATTAAAAGTAAACAAAAGGAAGTACATCAGTATCCTTTCCAAGTGTTGAGTAGCATATCAACGATCGCCAATATCACCACTACAAATGCGTATCCACATAACATTTATATACTCCATAGCGTAGAGTAGTGTCTCCGTAGGAAAGCGACTTTCTTCATGCCAGCAGTTAATGGGTACCCGGTAGGACGAGATCGTAAAGTGACTGTAAAACATGTTTCACAAGTGCACGTTTAAATGGGTAAAATCCATGTTACGCTTTGTGCATGCTTTTGTGTGCAGATAGGCACTTCGCACTATAAAAACTGTTTCGATGTTAAACACATCCATGTTCTATATTGTTAACGGGTTTAGGTGTATATAAACTTGTCTTGGCACTAAACGTTTTCTCGGCCAAAATGTGGGAAAGATGCATGTATAAAAACTAAACGGGGTTTGCATTAAGAGAGTGTTTCGACAGAACGCATTAAATGTGTTTCCCGTTTAGGATTTTGTTTATATCTACTTATTTAGTGTATGTGTTTGCATCCTAAACACTTATTACAATGAACAAATAAGCACATTGTTCTTCACATTTCTTCCTGTTTTATTTGTCCGTGTAAATCCATATCTAGATATTCGTTATTATAGGTTAATAAATATACGCTGTAATAGTTGTGTTTGTAGCTATTTTGGTGATTTGAGAAAAAACACACATTCAACTTGGTATTCTGTTCCACAGGCCCTCGTGTCGTTGCGAGGATTAAAGATTTGTAAAAAATATATAAAAATTTGAGATGACTCCCGACTCGAAATGCTTCACAGTACATGACAAGGGTCATAATGTATTGTACTGTGAAGCATTTCGAGTCGGGGGTCATCTCAAAAACAATATTTTTTAAATCATCAATCCCGTGTTCTGTTCTGGCAGAGTAGTTATATAAAACATTGCGACATAAGATTCGCTTGACCATCGAATTTGAAACTCAGAGAGTAAGCCTTAAAATTGTTTTCCGAGATTTTGTTCAATTTATATCAAGACAAGTTGGTTTAAATGTTGAAGGAAAGACCCCCCAAAGACGCAGGTTTTGGATGCTTACCACTATGGTGAACCCATGAGCGCAGGTATGATCCTGACACATCTTGAAACATAAAAGGGAAGGACCGTGGATTCGAACCCAAGACCTTTGTTCCCCACCAGAGTGTAGGACACAATACGGCACTGTATATTGCGGGGATGGTGGGGTAGCCTAATGGTTACAGCGTCCGCTTGTCACGCCGGGTTCGATTCTCCACATGGGTACAATGTGTGAAGCCCATTTCTGGTGTTCCCCGCCGTGATATTGCTGGAATATTGCTAAAAGCGGCGTAAAACTAAACTCACTCAATAGTTGCCAGTAGTATACGTTACTGTCATGTGTTCGAAGAGAAATATCCGTCAGCAATATTAAACTGGGATTTTACATATTTTCCAATCAACAGTGATCATGAGCATGAGCATAAGCTGAAGAGTGAGTAAGTTAGTTTAGTTTTACGCTGCATTTAGCAATATTCCAGCAATATCACGGCGGGGGACACCAGAAATGGACTTAACACATTGTGCCCATCTTGGGAATCGAACCCGGGTTTTCGGCGTGACGAGCGATCGCCTTAACCACTAGGCTACCCCACCGCCCCCGTAAGCTGAAGACCAATTTGATGATGATCATGAATCTACATGATAATAACGAAGGAAGAAGCTTCAGTTAGTTAGGTCAAAGGATACAAATAGTGCATATCTAATTTTCATGATATAAAAATATTTTCACTCAAATTTAATCGATAAAAATCTGGGTGCCTAAAGTAAGGTCGATGGACTGTAGGGGACATCAATATTTACACTGTTTAAAGGGGCTTGTGAACAGGTCTTCACAATACAAGCCTCAAACATTGGCTGGTGAAAAGGTCTTCACAATATATAAGCCCGACACGGTAAAGTTGAAAGAACAGTGTAAGCTGTTGGTATAAATTATTGTATTTAATACAAAATAATACAAAAATATACACAGTTACAAAATGTAATCATCATTAAATAACATTTTTCGAATACTAATTATATATTTTCTTCAATATGTGGATTGAAGTCGGCCTTTTGACATATCTTCTAATCTACTGATGGCTATGAAATATTACGTATTTATAAAACGGCAGAATAGAAATAATAAAGTTTGTTTTATGTGCAACTGGCATTTTCATTTTGAACTTAAACAAAATATACAACAAGAGATCACAAAATCAAGCAAATTCAACCAATGATACAGTGTAGGTCAATATTAAAAACCGCAGAAACATAAGCATTAATTGTTTTCCAAATTTTACAACATTGTGACAAAAGTACTGTACATGTAAATGAATAATATATTTGTCACAATTAATATTACAGTAACAACATTTTAAATATGTGTCAGGATTCAGGCTGTTATAAAAACTAAAAAGTTAAAGAAAGAGGAAATCATTGACGAAATGTATCAACACATTATCTCGGCCAGCTGTGCGCTGCTGTCAATTTACTGTTATATACAACCTGGCACATGTTTAACAACAGAGGGTATGGCATTCCATTGTTACTGGATGGTAAGATGGTTATTAATTACATGGAATAACATCATGGACGGTTCTATTGATCTTTTATTGTCCACGTAGTGTATTCATCCATATCATTTACATGGCCACATGCGTTTTGTAGGCATGTCCCTTTAATTTCCACTTCGTTGGGTGAAGGTCTTTCCTTGGTTATTTGTGGAGGAAATGGTGTTCTCTGAAATACAAAGGTTTTATACATGGCGGCGAGCAAGGGGCGTCAATTTCAGCTGTACTTGTTTGAAGCGAATGAGTTGCTTTTAACCCAGCTTTGAACACTGTACAGTTGTGTGTTGTTTAAATCTGTCCTCAGCAATATTCCAGCTATGTGACGGCGGTTTGTAAATAATAGAGTCTGGGGTCAATCCAGTGATCAACATCATGAGCATCGATCTACGCAACTGGGACAAGATGACATGTGTCAACCAAGTCAGCGAGCCTGAGCACCCGATCCCGTTAGTCGCCTCTTACGACAGGCATGGGCTACAGAAGACCAATTCTTCACGTGTCAGGTTGTCTATGAACAGTATTTAAGCGAAGATCAGAGGATTACCCCTGGGGGCAACCCACAAGCACTGCTCACGGCGAACTGTGTCGCCTAAGACAAGTCGGCACCTGTGCTGCCTTATTAGGGAGAAACCCCAAAAATAAGCGAAACCTAGGAGCTCCATAGATGCTGAAAGACCCGGGGTCACAAGAGAATGGATGAGTGAATGTTGTTTACAGGCGCAGTGTTGATATTGGAAACAGGACCAGGCTACCACTTGATTGAAGGCACCAGCACAGATCGCTGAACGTCTACGCTAACATTGTTGTATCGTATGCAGGGAATGCGGGTATTTGTCTTGCGGGTATGATCACATTTGGAGAGAACAAAATGTAACAGCACCAGAGCATTTCATATATGATTTAAGGCAAAGACTAAAAGATATGTATTTTCAAAAGTGGTACTCTTCACTATGTTTAAACAATAAGTTACTTTCTAGCTTGTTTGTCCATTGTGTGAGAATATCAGAAAAGAATACATGAAGAAATATTTCTATTTGAACCCCCGAATAGACAAATTCTATGCCCTCATGTTATCTCAAAATTAAACAGTCACAAAGTATCTTGCAATGTTTATATATACCCTCAAATGAATATCTTCTGCATAACAGATGTGATATTATTTACGATATATTCATTTCTATTGCACCCTTTGCTACTGTATATAAAATGTACTATAGGCCCACGGTCTTTTCAGTACTGTAAATGAAGATGTATTCTATTCGAAAAGTGTATAACGAACTACCGTTACAGTGAACTAAAATTTGTGGTCCCTTCGAATTCGTTATAACAGTAGTTCGTTATACATATTGCGAACAGAATATATTGCGCCAGGGACCCAAGAATAGTTCCTTATATCAGTCAGTTCGTTAAAGCGTGTTCGTTATAAACGTACTTCATTGTACGCACAGTTCGAATAAATACATACTTACAGTGAGTGAGTGAGTTTAGTTTTACGGCGCACTCAGCAATATTCCAGCTATATGGCGGCGGTCTGTAAATAATCGAGTCTGGATCAGACAGTCCAGTGATCAACAGCATGATCATCGATCTGCGCAATTGGGAACCGATGACATGTGTCAACCAGGTCAGCGAGCCTGACCACCCGATCCCGTTAGTAGCCTCTTACGCTAAGCATGGGTTACTGAAGATCAATATTCTAACCCGGATCTTCACGGTACACATACTTACAGATCATCTTCAAAGGGCTTTCCCGAGTCATCCTGGATCCCCTCTCCAGGGTAGTTTCTCGGGGAAACACTGAAAGGTGAAGATAGGTCAGTTAATAATTTAGCGTTCACTGACTGTTGTTATAGGCAACAGTCCCATTTCAAGTAATCATTTCCTGGTAATCGGGGGACCATTTCTATTCGATTCAATGACCTTAAACTTCAACGTCAGACAAATCGGAATAAGGCTGTCCATATTTTTCATAGAGCAAGCGGGCGAAAATACAAAATTATCAAATATATTTAAAAACCCATTTGTGCCAATTGTTTAGAAGTTTAGAATTTACATAAGAGTCAAATTATTCTGCGATGTGGATCGAGTAACTTTGTTTCGGAAACATTTTTTAATAAGGCAGATCAAGAATAATTAAGCTAACCTGGTTTGGGTTTGTTTGTTTGTTGTTTAACACCGCACTTATAGTCCGTTTGGCTCAAAAGCGGACCGATAAATTGCAATCAAACTCGAAGACTAATAAACATAAAATACTCAATGAAACGCTGATCATAATCAAAACATCAGACCAACTCTGTGTCTTTTTTGCAGAATTTATGTCCTCAAAATAAAAAAGTTGTTTAACAAACTATCATTAAAATATTGACACAGTTCACTATTTGTTACGAGGGAGGAGTGCAGAGAAAGGGACAGCCAGGTGTGCGAGAATGGATGGAGACGGCACAGCACAGGTTAATGAATCAATAACTTTGTCGGCACTTGTGCACGTGCTTCTCTAACACCTGGCTGTCCCTTTCTCTGCACTCCTCCCTCGTAAGAAATAGTGAACTGCGTCTATATTTTAATGATTGTTTGTTAAACAACTTTTTTAATTTTAGGACATAAATTCTGCAAACAAATGACAGAGTTGGTCTGATGTTTTGATTAGGATCAGTGTTTCATTGAGTATTATATGTTTATTAGTTTTCGAGTTAGATTGCAATTCATCGGTCCGCTTTTGAGCCAAACGCACTATAGCAATATTCCAGCTGTATGGTGATGGTCTAAATAATCGAGTCTGGACCAGGCAATCCAGTGACCAACAGCATGAGCATCGATCTCCGGAACTGGGATACGATGACATGTGTGAACCTAGTTTGTCCGAAGGAAAACTATTTGTTTCATCACATCGGGGTAACATTTCTACAGCGCCATGGGAAAATAAGATAAACATTATTTCTTATTTCATGTCGTAATGAAAAATTCAGGGCGGGCGGGGGGTAGGAGAGTACTCACAGCTTTACATGTCGAGTGTGTACTTAACAGGATATCGATGCTCATGCTGTTCATCACTGGATTGTCTGGTCCAGACTCGATTATTTACAGACCGCCGCCATTTAGCTGGAATATTGCCGAGTGCGGCGTAAAACTCAACTCACTTACTCACTTAACAGGATCACTAACACAAAGCGAGTTGTTCACGCAGAAATCTCACAGTTGGGTGACGTTGTTCAAACACATTAGTTTGTTTTTCAAACTGAGTGCCTGAGTTTACGTCGCTTTTGGCAAGAGTCTCAATAGAACACTTCAGGTGTTCTGGTATTCATGTTGAGAATCGAACCCGGGTACACTGCGAGAAAAGCGAACGTTTAAAAGGTTACCACCGCTTTATCAAGGAACGTTGTTTGATAATATATTCTCACCTTTACCGCTACTCTTTTGAGGGACGCTGGGTGTCTTCGGTCTGGAAGTAAACATAATATACTTGCGTAAAAAAGAAAGTAGATCTACACATCTGGTTGGTTAAAAAAATTCATTTTACAAAAACACCCGTTAATATAAGCTAAGTCCGAGGCTCCTGAATGACTAGTCAACTAAAGATAGCGTCTATCCTCCACTGTGTTGCTATGGTTACCGTGTGAAGGTTTACCTGAAATGCATGGCGAGAACCCCAAACAACGCTGCCGTCAGCATCATGACCACTGCCCTCATTACCCAAGTCTCAATGACGTCATTGGCTGACCTGGACGGCGGATTATCTTCCGTCGTCGTGATGTTGCTGCAGTCACACGTTGGAGCTGCAGCAGAGACATGAACAACATCTGCAGCTGCAGTTATGTATACTTAGAAACGGGGTAAGGTAAAATGGGGTTTAAGTCACCTTGCACATTTTTTACTTGTAACTTAACACGTGCTCGCGTACGTGCTTGAGTGCGTGTGTGCGTGACTGCTTGTACTGGTCCGACGTCAGTTTAATATTGCCAGCAAAGTGGTATTTTATCATCCAAAACTGTGTTCCACAGGAGATATCGCTTGTGTGAGATCAGACGATATCTCCTAGGAGATATCGTTTTGACAGATTTTGCACAATGCCCTGACAATGCTATGACGTCATGAACTTGATGACGTCACAATGATATGACATCGCTGCACTGCAAATCTAATAGCAGTACTGTGTTCAGAGATGTACATTTTTCATTGAAAACTAATGAAGAATGATTTTGGATGATAAATAGAATCTCACCCTCGTGTCTTTTGATATCAAATATATCAACACTCGTTGATAAAAGTAAAAATATCCTCGGCAAGCCTCGGATATTTGTTACTTTATCAACTCGTGGTGATATATTTGATATCAAAAGACACTCGGGTGAGATTCTCTATCTAGGGCCGAAGTATCCTGCTTTTATCACCTCAACGCAAGGCAGGGTATCAAAAAGTATCATTTGAATGTCAAATCATCAAACTCCGTGCATGAAGTTTGTGCGAATCCTACCTCTGCCTCACGCAAAAGCAATGTGTCGAGCAATCAGCAAGTCATATGGCGCATTTAGTGCATCCGTTCGGGCGATGAAAGCTGCACGGTCATTGGTCCGTTTGTCCATGGCTCGCCGCTCGCCGGAACGAGACATTTGAATGGTTGGTTTCTGATAGGTAATACACCTCATAGCTGCTTACACGAAGCCTACACGATGTGATGTGACAGATAATCTTATGGGGAAAGCTTTGTTAAACTCAATCCACCCATATATACGTTTAAACAAATACTCAACGTTATAAACCTCATCGTGTCAGAGGTAATATGTTTATCGTCAGTGGGTGGGTTTAAACAGTATATGGGAAAATCTTGGCCTTAATGGAGGAATGCTGGTCCCAGACCTTCGACGTTGACTACGTTGTTGAAAACGGGAATGGTACTGACAGACCCAGAAACATCGGGCGAGCTGGGATTCGAACCCATGAGTGAGTTTAGTTTTAAGCCGCTTTTTGCGATATTCCAGCAATATCTTGGCGGGGGATACCAGAAATAGGCTTCACACATAGTACCCATGTGGGGATCGAACCCGTGTCTTCGGCGTGACGAGCGAATGCTTTAACCACTGGGTTACACTCCCGCCCCTCCCCACGTTCATGTAGTTCAAGTTTGCCAAGGGACGCAACTCTGCAAAGCGCATTACAGAGCCAGAAACAACTGGGCCATCCATGGCCCCATGTTAAGTCTCAATCTTACCCATTGTTGTCGTTGCCGTAGTAACGGAAGGACAAACAGTACTGTTTCCACAATTTTCGAATAGAATCTGTACATGTCCTGTTACTGTTAATTCCGGAGTTCCACCATCTGAGACCACGACTTGAATATTTTCAACAAGGTCATCCACAGCGCTACCTACTGGCGAACTTAGAAGAGTTACCTCCCCTGAACTGCTAACGGAGACGTATGGATTAGACCCTGAATCGATAGCAAAACTGAGATTTGGTCCGTCTTCGTCAACAGCTGTTAACGTCACCAGTGATGCTCCACCTGCGGTACCACATGGCACATTCACAGTTGTCATGGTTACTGATAAAGTTGGCTGTATATCATTTATGTTGTGAACAATCACTGTCTGGAGTACTGTGGCGCTTCTTGGCGAGGACCCCATGTCAGAAGCCGCGATTGTGACATTATAGTATGCAGTTCCGCCTGTTGAAGGGTCAAAGTCCAAATGTGATGACGTTGTCAGACGTCCAGTGGATGGGTCCACAGTGAACTTGTTTGGCTCACTAGCACCTGCATCTGAAACACATATCACATGAATGAAGAAGGTAATCTGATATACTTCACAAGTCAAAACACTGATTACACAACAGTTTCCTGCTGACTGGGCTCCGTCCTATTGCGCAACTTAGTACAATAACCAGTCCAGAATTTTGAGACCAACTCATTCAACTGGTTGTATAAATATTAATCAATATTATTTGATCCATCTAATCACTTGTATATTGCAACACTACGCTCCTTCAAATCCACGTATCGCAGCGTGCTCAGGCTACGCTCCTTCTAATCCACGTATCGCAGGGTGCTCTGTGGTACAGCGTGCTCTGACAAACGGAAATCTGGAAATCGTGGAAATCTCAAAACGAAGCTCAAGTTCTAGAAAGGTTTGGCGGTCTGGTACGGACTTGATATTACACTGACTGACTGACTGACTGAGTTTAGTTTTACGCCGCTTTTAGCAATATTCCAGCAATATCACGGCGGGACTTGATATTACATGTATATCAATTACATCGTACGTTACAAAAATACACTGAATAAGCGCAAAGAACACGTAACAGGTGTTACCAGTGAGCCATATGAATTGTGAATCATTTTACGACCTCACAAACGGGCAGTCTGTTACGTTAAGTTAAGGTCATGCTGCCTGAACCTCGACATAAAATATAGAAATACGATTTAAAAATAAATAAATTTAAATACAAATTCATTTGTAAATACCATTTTCTTATGAAACAAGGAATTGGAATTTCGTGTAACCATAGTTGTTTGTAGTGTCCCTTTTCACTTTCACATGAGAAACTTCGGATCAGCTGAGAAGCAGGTCATTGTCTGAATTGGTTCATGAGACCGGTTTGCGAGCGGTAGCTTAGTGGTTAAAGCGTTCACTCGTCACGCCAAAAACAGAAACACACGTTCGATTCCCCACATGGGTATATTATGTGAAGCACATGTCTGGTGACCCCGCCATGATAGGAAGTGACGTAAGACCATACTCACTCTCTCACATCATCAAAATCTGGCGAAAACGGTAAGATAACGGTGAAAAATTAATGGTTCGCTAAAATAGTGATGACAGCAGGCACCAAGGGCGGATACAGCTTTTTGAGAAAGGGGTAGGGGTAGGGGGTGCACACTCTTGAGAACTTGGGGGTGGGGGTGCACACTTCATTTCCACCCGTTTTCACGGGTCATTTAATAACCTTTCAGGACAAAGGGGTGGGGGTGCGCACCCCTGCAACCACCTTCTGGATCCGCCTATGGGCACCACAACATCAACACACAAACATAAGGCAGAATTTCGAATTATATCAGAGACCATACGGGTTCCATGTTCAACCTCATAAGACATCAGTACACCGGACAGTTTTCAAAGAACCCATGGCCAGAGTACTGAAGAAACATTAGGTATACATTAACGGGTATACGATAACTAGTTGGCGTCATTAATTAACGTAATCATTGTAATTTTCAATCATTTTAGTTTCAAAAAGGAATCGTTCATGAGTGAAGTTTTGCAACTACTTATATAACATAATAGTATTGAAAAAATTGTAAACAATATCTCAACCTCATCTCGCTTTGAGCTATGGGTTTAACAAATGAAGAAACTGATATCCAATTCTTGATCCCATAGTCATCCATAGGCGGATCCAAGTCATTTATAAAGGCGGATCCAAGTGTGTGGAAAACATTAACTTCAATGTGGCCTTTACCCCCAATGGAAAACACAGGTCATCTCTGGATCCGCCACTAGTCATCAACAATTCTAAATGTCCTTCAAAAAACCCATTCTTATATGATCATAGGTAAGTGTATTCAAAGGTAGCGATCTTCAAATAGCGACTTCATTGTCAGCCAACAACTGCTGGTAGTATTTAAACTTAAACGTTGCAATATATCATCTGTTGGTTTACCTGTCAAAACCGACTCGATACTGTAGACCACGTGACCATCAACTCCAAGGTCAGCATCGGTGGCAGTAACGACGATGACCTCATATCCGAGGGTTCATTTTCGTTGACGGTCAGTACTGGAAATTCACCGCTACTGTCCGGCTTCGGACTCTGATACACAGGGTCAAACTCGTTCTGGGGACTGATCTGGTAAATGTAAATATTTAAACATCTGAACGTGCATTCTTACAAGGTTAATCTAACAGTAAATTATTACCTGAACATGTTCCTACTTCATCCGTCGGTCTCTAACGTTGTTGTGTTATGATGTTGTGACTTGAATACATACTATCAAAAAGTCAGAGACCACCGATTCGTTGTGTTGCATTGAGTCGAATTCACAGGAGCACCTATCTATGTATTTATCTTCGCGATTGACTTGTAATCAAAACCCAGGACCAATTAGATCTTCATGAACTCACGTCGATCTGGTCTAACCACACCGGTAGGGTAGCCTAGTGGTTAAAGCGTTCGCTCGTCACGCCGAAGGCCCGGGTTCGATTCCCCACATGGGTACAATGTGTGAAGCCCATTTCTGGTGTCGCCCGCCGTGATATTGCTGAAATATTGCTATAAAAGGCGGCGAAAACTAATCACTGTATGTGTTTAACCCGCCGCTGGAAAGAAGCCATATTCGTGCAGATGGAAATGGTCTTCACGAATACCAATGTGGAGAACAGAACCAAGCACTCGTGACAACCGAACACTTTAACCACTAGGCTAAGCAACTCCACACTGACACCCTAAGGCTGAGGTAACTTCATAAACTTAGCGATCCGTGAAGAACCGGGTCAGAATTGATCTTCAGCAACCCCTACTTGTCGTAAGAGGCGACTAACGGGATCGGGTGGCCAGGCTCACTGACGTGGTTGACACATGTCATCGTATCTCGAGTATGTATATCGATGCTCATGCTGTTGATCACTGGATTGGCTGCTTAATTACAGACCGCCGCCATTTAGCTGGAATATAGCTGAGTGCGGCGTTAAACAACAAACTAACGAACATAAACGTAACATAGGATTACTTCTAAATGACAGCCTTTACTTTACAAAGAATTGTAATAGTCTTAAACTGGCCTTGAGAAAGGTGGTCATCGGCTAAACCTAACAAATTACAAGACAGCATTGATAATCAAATTTCGTTAATTTATGATGCTTCATCGTCTGCAAACAGTAGATTATAACCATATGCCTACACCAGTCGTCAGGCGAATATTTACCTCAACTACGACAACAGTCACTCCCGTTTTAGCATCAGCAGCATGGTCGACGGCGGTTACGATCAGGGTGTACGTGAAGTTTACCGAAGCTGAGCCTTCGTAGTCTACGACCTGCACGTAGAGGTTGTCCCCGTCAAGTCGGAACAATCCGTCGTTGTTGCCGTCGATGATGTTGAAAGAAAACTGTCCGTTGGTTCCGTTGTCGGCGTCGGTCGCAGTGAATGTCAAGATGAGACTCTCTGGAGTATAAGAGAACAGGATCATCTGCATTTTTAAACATATATTTGGTAACATTGTACTCAAGCGTAATCAACAGGAGGCGGCGGGTAGCCTAATGGTTAAAGCGCCCGCTCTTCACGCTGAAGACCCGGGTTCGATTCCCTACATGGCTACAATGTGTGATGCCCATTTCTGATGTCCCCTGCCGTGATACTGCTGGAAGCGTCCTTAACCCATACTCAGTCAGCGTAATCAACAGAACTGTCCATGCAGACACGGAACTGACGTTTAAAGTATCCCATTGACGATTTTGGTTAGAACTCAGCATGTCGGTCGTTAAAGGCGACTGTCGAGATTTGGCGAGCATGCTAGCTCCCATGGATGATTCCAAAATTACGTAGTTCGATGCTCGTTATGTCGATCACTGGATTGTCTGGCCCAGATTCAAATATTTACAGACCACAATGATATAGCTGGAATAGTGCTGAACGAGGTTTTATAGACAATTATTTATTCATTGTCATTAGAATTTGTTGGCAGCTGCGAAGCGGCTGGGTATCCAGGCTGTAAAGCGTTCGCTCGTCACGTTGAAGACCCAGGTTCGATTCCCGACATGGGTACAATGAGTGAAGCCCATTTCCGGTGTTCCAGGCCGGAATATTTCGAAAAGCAGCGTAAAACTAAAGTCACTCACTCACTCACTTTTTGGCAGCTGCAGTCATCATTATACTTCATGCACACCAGCGAATGCTCAAGAGATTTCCTTGCGTTTGTATTTCATACAGACCTTTGAGTACATGCCATTTTTTCGCAACAAAGGGCAAACAAATATCGATTTTAATTTAAACATTTCTTCTGGATAATAATTACCTCCCGTCCCATTTTCTGGAACAGCAACTGTGTGAAGAGACTTAGAGAACGTTGGCGTGTAGACGTTGCTGTCGTTGCTGCACACTGCATTGGTTTGACAGTTTTCAAAGAGCACCAGTAGGTGACCTTTTCCCTGAAGATTCGGGGTACCCTGGTCTGACACCAGTAATGGTATCGATTGGACCAAGTTTGTAACAGCGACACCTGTTGGGGAGGCTATGAGAGTTACCTCCCCTGAAACGCTGTCAACGGACACATAGGGATTTGTTCCTGCTTCGATTTCGTAAAGAAGGGAGGGACTATCCTCGTCATCTGCCGACAACGTCACGAGTGACGATGCCACGACATCGGTACAGGCTACGTTGACGGTGTATGTGGCGGTTTGAAATTCAGGTGCGATGTCGTTGACGTTGGTGAGATTGACACGTTGAATTGCTGAAGTGGTCTTTGGTACAGATCCCTTATCGGAGACTGTGATCGTGACGTCATAATACTTGACCCCGCCCGTCGATTGGTCAAAATCGAAACTAGAACTGGATTTAAGTTTACCGGTTCCAGATTCGATAATAAACATCCCTGGAGCGTTGACACTCGTATCTGAAACGAATGAGTTGATCATCTAAATAACTGACGTTTATTTTCAATTGTAGGAATATATGAAGAATCAGTAAAGAATTGTTATAATTTTGAAAGAAAAAATAAGGGCCATTTTTTATGTCTCGTAAAAAACCCACTTTGAATAGCAAAGGTTTTAACTGTTCATGACCCTCGAAGTTGTACACATTTTTCTCTGTACCTGACACAACTGACGTAATACTGTACGTCACTTCACCGTCTTCTCCGAGGTCCGCGTCAGTCGCTGTAACGGTGACAACGTCATAATCAGGGCTTACATCCTCATCCACGGTTACACCAGGGAAATATCCTGCACCATTCACAGAAGGACTGCTCCACACGGGGGCGAACTCGTTCTCAGGGGAGATCTAAACAAAAATAATCGGACGTATATATATATTTTAAATCTAAAAGATATTTTTATCTATTATTTTGACAGCGTAAGACAATATTTAATAATATCGTTTGATTAGTATATGCAACTACCTCCACAATGACGACGGTGACGCCTGTTCTTGCATCGGCTGCGTGGTCAACGGCGGTGACCGTCAAGGAGTACGTGAAGTCTATTGACGATGCCGATTCGTAATCCACGACTTGCACATACAGATCGTCCCCGTCAAGTCTGAATAAGCCGTCGTTGTTGCCGTCGCTGATGTTGAATGTAAACTGACCGTTGGTTCCATTGTCAGCGTCAGTTGCAGTGAAGGTCAAGATAAGGGTCTCTGGTTGAACAAGGAAACATAATTACTAATATTTACTTTGTGATACGTATATAAGTATTTAGTTTGTGTTGTCACCAAACGTAACAGTAAGGGTATATGTTCATCGAAGAATCGGATTTATAAAGAGCAAATTCGCATCAACTCTCTTTCTCTGATACTGGACTGATTTTAAGTAAGTTAGTTGGGTTTTACGCCGATTTCAGCAATATTCCAGCAATATCACGGCGGGGGACACCAGAAAAGGGCATCACACATTGTACCCATGTGGAGAATCGAACCCGGGACTGCAGCGTGATGAGCGAACGCATTACCCACTAAGCTACCCCACCACCCGGACTAATTTTAATGTCCCCTGGAGTTCGTGAGGATTCAGAGGCTGACGAAATCCTCCGTACCCCATTATAGGGCTAATCTGACGGCAGATAAATTATTAATGTTACTAATTCATTAAGTTATACTACTGACAGGAATTAGAAATATACCTAATAGTGATAAAATTTCCACATCCGAACACATCCTGCCCTAGGAGGAATACCAGAGCAAATGAATGCACCACTTTATTACTCCCTGTCTCCCCGGGAAGATCCTATACAACTGGATTTCAGCAACACATGATTGTCGTAGGAGACGATTAACGGGATCAGGTGGTCATGCTCGGTAACTTGGCTGACGTTAGTCAATAATTTCCGATTGTGAAGATCTATACTCATGATTTCCATTACTGGATTACCTGTCCCTGACTACATTATTTCCAGACTGCCGTCATTCTCCTTGAATATTGCTGAGTGCGGCGTTAAACAACAAACAAAGAGTCTTGTCAGTGATCAGTCAATATTGAAATTCGATTGTGCAAGTAAGCTGCAATCACTGATACTTCATGAGAATCTGCTCGAAAGATTTACTAACATATATATTTCATGTATGCAATGCCAACTTTTTCGCAACAATGGGCGGAGATAGTATTGCTTCTCGTTTAAACCTTTTTGAACCATTTACCTCCTGTGGTATTTTCTGGAACAGCAACAGTGTGAAGAGACTTTGAGAACGTTGGCGTGTAGACGTTGCTGTCGTTGCTGCACACTGCATTGGTTTGACAGTTTTCAAAGAGCACCAGTAGGTGACCTTTTCCCTGAAGATTCGGGGTACCCTGGTCTGACACTAGTAATGGTATCGATTGGACCAAGTCTGTCACAGCGACACCTGTTGGGGAGGCTATGAGAGTTACCTCCCCTGAAACGCTGTCAACGGACACATAGGGATTTGTTCCTGCTTCGATTTCGTAAAGAAGGGAGGGACTATCCTCGTCATCTGCCGACAACGTCACGAGTGACGATGCCACGACATCGGTACAGGCTACGTTGACGGTGTAGGTGTCGTTCGAAAACTCCGGCGCGATGTCGTTGACGTTGGTGAGGTTGACACGTTGAACTGCTGAAGTGGTCTTCGGTACAGTTCCCTTTATCGGAGACTGTGATCGTGACGTCATAATACTTGACCCCTCCTGTCGATTGGTCAAAATCGAAACTAGAACTGGATTTAAGTTTACCGGTTCCAGATTCGATAATGAACACCCCTGGAATGTTGACACTCGTATCTGAAACGAATGAGTTGATAATCTAAATAGACGACGTTCATTTGCAGTTGTAGGAATTGAGGTTATAAGAAGAATCAGTAAAGAATTGATATAATTTTGAAAAATAAGGGCCATGGTTTATGTCTCGAGAAAAAACCACTTTGAATATAGCAAAGGTTTTAACTGTTCATGACCCTCGAAGTTGTACACATTTTCGCTGTACCTGACACAACTGACGTAATACTGTACGTCACTTCACCGTCTTCTCCGAGGTCCGCGTCAGTCGCTGTAACGGTGACAACGTCATAATCAGGGCTTACATCCTCATCCACGGTCACACCAGGGAAATGTCCTGCACCGTCCACAGACGGGCTGCTCCACACGGGGGCGAACTCGTTCTCGGGGTAGATCTTAACAAAAATGGTCGGATAGATCATGTTTTTATATTTCAAAGATATTTGTATCTATTATTTTGAGAGCGTCATATGTCAGTAATAATCGTTTCATTAGTAAATTCCCCTACCTCCACAATGACGACGGTGACGCCTGTTCTTGCATCGGCTGCGTGGTCGACGGCGGTGACCGTCAAGGAGTACGTGAAGTCTATTGACGATGCCGATTCGTAATCCACAACTTGCACATACAGATCGTCCCCGTCAAGTCTGAACAAGCCGTCGTTGTTGCCGTCGCTGATGTTGAATGTAAACTGACCGTTGGTTCCACTGTCGGCATCGGTCGCAGTGAGGGTTAGCAGTAGAGTTTCTAAAGAATTCGGAAACCAATTATACCGATCCGTTGAAATGATGATTAATATCTTTAAGTTGATTTTTATGTTGAAATTTATTGACCATTGCTGTCTCCGCCAGCCTTCCATGCAATGCATCATCAGAGAAAACATTTTAAAATTAAGTTACATAAGTATGTAGCAGTGCCTTTATTAGCTAGCGATGCACAAAAATAAGGGTAGGTTTCAAAATGGGTGTCACATTTTAAGTGTGAAACACAAGTTTACTGAAAAGTACCAATAAATTGGAAGGTTGGTGAAGATGTGCAGTAGGTTTTCGGAAGATTTCCGAAAGTTATTCCGACGCAAATATTCTTCATGTGATGTTTCCAGATCTTTGATAATTCTCAAAGTATCCTCCTGAGGCGATTACAAATGGTGTACCCGACCCTGTATGGAGTGAGTGAATGAGTTTAGTTTTACGCCGCACTCTGCAATATTCAGCTATATGGCGGCGGTCTGTAAATAATCGAGTCTGGACCAGACAATCCAGTGTTCAACAGCATAACCATCGATCTACGCAATTGGGCTACGATGACATGTGTCAACCTACTCAGCGAGCCTGACCACCGATCCCGTTAGTCGCCTCTTACGACAAGCATGGGTTACTGAAGACCTGTTCTAACCCGGATCTTCACGGGTACCCTGTATGGAGAGTCTGACACTCGTCGTCTAGCTCTGTGATTTTCCCAAGACCACAACAATTTAATTATTGTTCGTCAGTATTGCTGTTACAAATCCCAATTGCCTGATCCCAGGCGTGACTAGCGACCACTTTAACCACTGAGCTACCCAAACACTCCTCGATCAAGTCTTTCGTGCATTTTGCATATGAACCTCTTGTTGTTTTTGAACATATTTTATTATTTATTTATTTATTTATTTATTTAGCTACCCCAACTCTCCTCGATCAAGTCTTTCGTGTATTTTGTATATGAATCACTTCTTGTTGTTTGTGAACATATTTATTTATTTATTTATTCATTTATTTATTTATTTATTTATTTCAGAACCAAGGGACACAATTTCGATAAGTGTTTATCGTTGGTTGACCTGATTGATGCATGTCAACGTATCCCCAACGCATACATAGATTCTCACATTAATTCATGTTCAAATATTATTTTATCGTACCTCCAGTGGAATTCTCTGCCACAGATACGCTGTGCACTGCCTTGCTAAATACTGGCGTATTGTCGTTGACGTCCATGACGACGATATCTAACGCCTGAGTCGCCACATGCCCGTCAAGGTCTCCGACTAGAAGCACAACGTCAAGATTGACCGACGCTAAATTCTCGTAGTCGAGCGCTTCCTTGAGAGTGATCTCCCCTGTCGAACTGTTTATTGCCAGAAGACCACTATCTGCACCTAATTCAGCAACATCAAGGAATTAAATTTGGTAAATGGTGAATACAGGAACTAATAAAGTAATGCTATAAACGACAAGCATCTCAAGAAAGTTATTAAGTAATTTGAAGCCAAAAATTGCGCAGAATTCGATAATACGAAATTGAAATTTTGAAAAGAAGGTTCAAAAACGTGAGATGGAAATTGAAAGATCCTAATGCAGCATGGGAAGGAAGCTGAAATGATAATTCGTTGATAGTGAAAAGGAATAATGAAATGAAAAGAAAAAAAAGAGTCCCAAAATGCATTGTAAATATGAACGTTTGCTTGAGTCAAACGCTTCTAGTCACTGCTTCAAACGCTTCTAGTCACTGCTTCAAACGCTTCTAGTCACTGCTTCAAACGCTTCTAGTCACTGCTTCAAACGCTTCTAGTCATCCTTGAAAGCTTCTGAAACGTATACAGCCTTGATATGCAAAAATATCAGTATATTACACGCCCACATACGCACACATACGCACACACACGCGCGCTACCTAGTGACAGCGAGTAGTAATTGTTTATACAGCAGTTAATTTAATAAATCATGTCAGCCATTAGTTTCCAAGCAGCAATATTAAAGATCATTTTTGTTCAAACATAATTAGAAAACAATACCCTTTTAAACGGTCCTTCTCTTACTGCCCAACGGTGATAAGACAATTGAAGTGAAACATTAAACAGACTGCACACAGTCAGTTAAACTGTACCTTGTAGACTGTAGGTGAGGGTGTCGCCTTCATCAGCGTCACTAACGATGTAGCCTCTCGCGACGTCCGTCCCCACTGGAATCTCTTCCGGAATGTATATCACCTTGGTAACCGTGACGACAGGAGTCTTGTCGTTTGAGTTCAGGACGTGGACCACGACAGTCTGGTTCACTGTGTATGTACCATCAGTGGCGCTGATCCCGGAAACATAACATCTTATTTGTGCCTCGGAATCTTTTTTTGCGTCATCGGATCTTAGTTTATAATTTTGGTGTTTTTTTTGTTTTACGCCACACTCTTTACGCATATTCCAGCTATATGGCGGCGGTCTGTAAATAATCGAGTCTGGACCAGACAATCCAGTGATCAACAGCATGAGCATCGATCTATGCAATTGGGATACAATGACATGTGTCAACCAAGTCAGCGATCCTGACCACCTGATCCCGTTAGTCGCCTATTACGACAAGCATGGTTTGTTGAAAACCAATTGTAACCCGGATCTTCACGGGTATCTTAGTTAATTATATTTACATAATAATTTACGGATGACACTTTGTCACAAACCACTATGGCAAAAATAAATAAGATTGTCATAATCTAATCATTGTTAAGTCTTCGTCTCATCTATTGTTTTCTGCATTTGAAACAAAGAAACATTTTCAAAAAAGGACTACATATTTTCAGATTTAATTTCAAAACATATTTCGGCATTGTTGTGACCTTTGTAAGTTTTCAGTGAAACAGATCATAGAAGTGTCTGGTTAAGTCAAGAGGTTTGATATAAATGAACATATATAGGGTCGTCCCACAAAGCGAACTTTGGGCTAAGCATAAGATCGCTTTTATGGATTGGACCAAGGTATTTTTGGAAGGCGTAATTGACCCATTGTGAATTGAAATTTATTCATCATGATATAACACCACCACCACCAACAACAACAACAGCAACAACAACAACATAACGATTTTGTTTTGACATCAGTAGTCTCACCTTATAATAACAGCATGGCAACGCTCTTGTTCGAAGTCTAGTTGCTGGTCGACCTTCAACATTGACCCGTCAACCTTGAACTTGGTATCAGAAGTGCTGAAGGTCACGATATCTCCATCGACGTCATCGGCCATCAGAGAGACGACGTCCTGTCCGACACTGGCGTTTTCATAAACATCAACTTCCAGAACAGTGATATTCCATACGGGCGGGTTGTCATTGGATCCTGTGACGTAGACGCGCAATGCACCATGGGTAGAGCGAGGGGATGAGCCTGCATCCGTGGCAGTGATGTTGACGACGTAGTAGTTGACGCCGCCTGTGACGGCATCAGCGTCCAGTTGTCCGGAAACTCTCAACTCGCCACTTGAAGCGCCTATTGTAAACGTTCCAGGTACCTGGGCTCCAGAATCTAAAAAATATAGCGACACGATCAATGGAACCACAACGAACCTAACACGTCAATGCCAGAGAATAACCAGTCTCGGCTACCCGCCATTGGACGTAAATGTATCATAGGTGTCTCTACATAAAGATAGGGCGGTGGGATAGCCAAATTGTTAAAGGGTCCGCTCGACATGCTGAAGACACGGCTTCGATTCCAAACATGGGTACAATGTGTGAAGCCCATTTCTGGCGCCCCAGAAATATTGACTTGAATATTGCTAAAAGTGTCGTAAAACCATACTCACTCACTACATAAAGAATAGATCAAATATAAATAATATCAAGTTGGAGCTTGCGTAGATCGATGCTCATGATGTTGATCACTGGATTGTCTAGTCCAGACTCGTTTATTTACAGACCACCGCCATATAGCTGGAATATTGCTGCGTGCGGCGCAAAACTAGACTCATTCACTCAAGTTGGAGCACTTGGCCTGACAATCTGAGAGTCCCAAGTTGTTATTAATTACTCATGTGCCAATATAAAATGCTAGACGTCTGTAATCAGCATGTGTTAATGGTTTGCCATACTGAGCCTTTATACATGTCTCACCTGTTATGATGGACGTCACTGCATAAACTACCCGACCATCGTCACCGTGGTCACCGTCTGTGGCGTTGAATGCCGCCACAACCGTTCCCATGGTGATGTCCTCTGACACAGTAACGTCTAGGAAGAACCCGCTTCCATCTAAGACAGGAGATGTGAACGCCGGGGTGTGTTCGTTTTCTGGGAGGACCTGTATATCACAAAACAAACTAAAAATTCTTTTCAAATTTACGAAAACATAAATTATATTGTTCAATAAGACTTCAAAAAGATGTGAACCGCCTCCGTGGTGTAGTGGTTAGAGCGTCCGCCCGGAGAGCGGAAGGTCGCGGGTTCGATCCCCGACTGCGTCATACCAAAAGACGTTAAAATATGGTACTTGTTGGTCCCTGCCTGGCGCTCGGCATTAATGGGTACAACAAGGACTGGTCGGCTCGGAGTCAGCATAATGTGTCTGAGTGGGGTATTCATGCTTCACTGCGGCATGGTATCTCAGTGAGCTAGCACTATAAAACCAGCTTAAGTCTGGGCTAGTACAAGGAGCCGCACATACACATACACGCATGCACGTCGTCATATGAGCGAAATATTCTCAAGCACGACGTTAAACCCAATTTCACCTCACCTCACCTCACCCTCACCTCAAAAGATACGATTGAATATTGTGTCACGCCGACCTTAGCTGTATTTCAGCTCTATGACGGCGGCCTGTAAACAATCGAACCAGGATCAAACAATCCAGTGATTGATATCATGAGCATCGACCCAAGCCATCGTTGAACGATGACAGGCAATCAATCAAATTCAGTCTCCTCTTAACAGCAGTTCTTGTTACAGAGGGTGGTGGGGTAGCCTAGTGGTTAAAGCGTCCGCTCGTCACGCTGAAGACCCGGGTTCGTTTCCCCAAATGGGCAAAATGTGTGAAGCCAATTGTTGGTAACCTCCGCCGTAATATTACTGGAATATTGCTAGAAGCGGTGTAAAACCATACTCTCTCACTCATGTTGCAGAGGTCTTATTCTAACCTCACCTTTCCACTGAAGTTATAATTACGAAAATGCTGCAGTTAACATGCAGCATAGGCTGCTAGTTTAGTTTCTCTTTTGTTTATCGTTGTCCTGGCTGATAAATTTAAAATAAAGGACAGCTATATTCGGGGCTTATTAAACTCGATTTCATAATATTCAAATATGTATGGTGATAAAGATAAAACTGCAAGTGTGAGCAAGTGTATTTGGTTTTAATGCAAACAGAAAGTCATAACGAATGTTAGTTTGGTGGGGGGTGTAAGTCTTTAAGTCTTTATTCAGTATTGGAGGCCTCGTGGCCCAGATTACAAACTGTTGAAATTCAAATTTTTGTGTGGAATGCTTACAGGTTATTTCTGATAAGCACAATGGTAAAACATGTAGAAATAGTTATATTGTACAAGAAATGATAAACAGGTTTATATAACACATGAAATCATGTTAATGCAAAATATGGGGGATCATTTTGCAAAAAGATTTCTTTTCAAATACAGTGCGAGTCCCTTCAAAATATTAACATTTGTTGAAGACATAAGTTGTTGTAGTTTTTCTCGGGAAGGGTAGTGATGAAAATATTTTGGAATGAATTTATTTCTAATAACATTATAGTAAGGACAATCCAAATGAAATGAAATTCATCTTCGACAGCCATATTGTCATACATATTAGGGCAGATCGGTCAACGCTTTCTATAACGTTGGGTATGAATCTTCAGGTTATGAGTGAGTGAGTGAGTTTAGTTTTACGCCACACTCAGCAATATTCCAGCTATATGGCAGCGGTCTGTACATAATCGAGTCTGGACCAGACAATCCTGTGATCAACAGCATGAGCATCGATCTGCGCAATCGGGAACCGATGACATGTGTCAACCAAGTCAGCGAACCTGACCACCCGATCCCGTTAGTCGCCTCTTACGACAAGCATAGTCGCCTTTTGTGGCAAGCATGGGTTGCTGAAGACCTATTCTACCCCGGATCTTCACGGGTTATGAGAAAGTATACGAAGTCCTGGTTAGTGAAGGTCGTATCCGTGAAGCCTGTGAACTGACACATTGAGGAGTTTAAGTCATCGATTCCGCATTAGATCACTGCCATAAATGTCGTCCACGAACAATTACGACAATGCTTTTCCTTTTGTTGTTGGTGGAACTCCGCGCTCAGTAATGTTCTGGCAATACGACGGATGTCTGTAAATCTGGCTCTGGTGAGCAAGTGAGTTAGTTTTACGCCGCACTCGGCAATATGCCAGCTATGTGGCGGCGGTCTGTAAATAATCGAGTCAGGACCAGATAATCTAGTGACCAATATCATGAGCATCAATTGGGAACCGATGTCATTGCTGAAGACCAATTCTAACCCGGACCTTCACGGGTCCTGGCTCTGGTAAGCTGGCGCTTGACATCATGAGTTGGAAGACGGTGACATGCATTAAACAAGTCAACGAGCGTCACTTATCTCTCCTGTTAGTCGTCTTTCTAAAGCCTGCGTTGGTGAAGACAAATTCTAACCGGGATCTTCATGGGGGCGATGAGAAAATCCATTTCCCACTCAATCCCACGAAAGCTCATCCATTGCTACGTTCATTGTATCCGAGCCATTCTTATAATTCTACTTATATAAATATATATAAAACATGATAAAATAACAATATCTTTCGCCGATCATCGATTCGGAAAAAGTTCATGAAGGTGTGGGTACGTTCTGTAAGAGAGTTATCTACCTTGATTGTGACTATAGATGTCGCTGTGAGTTGAATGTCTCCGCTGGGATTGTCTATCGCTAAGACCTTGATGTTCAGCATGTAATCCGTACTTTCCCTGGCCTCATAATCGACAGCGTTAACTCCCGAAATCAACTCAGTGCCGGACAGTTGGAAGTTACCATTAGGGTCACTGGTGCTGTCGATGGACATCGCGACGGTGCTGAAGTCACCGCTGTCGACGTCATTGCAAGTAATCTCGGACAACACAACACCTGGAATATCAATATTAATTCTTTTAAGTAAGAAACTTTTAAAAAATCTTCGTTTTGTTTCATTGCCATCAATATATGTGTAACGTGTTTTTATTTCACCTTATGCAGTCTTGCACCAACTTTATGCACATTTACAGATTTATGTGACACAGAACTGTTTGATCCCTACCTGATGCTGTATTCTCCGTCACAGTCACCTGGCCAGTAGTGACCCCGCATACAGGTGTGTTATCATTGAGGTCAACCACAGAGAAGTTCAAGGCCACCGAGTCTTGTAAGCCCGCAGAGTCTGTCACGGTCAAGGTCAGGTCATCAACAAGGGTCACATTTCCTGGAATGTCTCGATCAATCCGTTTAGCAATGCTGATCGCCCCCGTGGAACTGTCAATGGTGAAATAGTCGGACCCCGTGCCTGCAACCACAGTATGAGAATATACATATATATATATAAAAGATCCTTACACGCATATGGATAGAGTGTGAGTGAATGAATTTAGTTTTAATCCGCATTTAGCAAAATCTAAATAATATCACGGCGGTGGACACCAGAAATGAACTTCACACATTGTACCAATGGTGGGGGTATCAATAGTACGGACCTTATACTGAGTAAGTTTAGTTTTAAGCCGCTTTTAGCAATATTCCAGCAATATCACTGCGGGAAACACCAGAAATGGGCTACAATCAACCCATGCGGGGATTCGAACTAGGGTCTTCGGCTTGACGAGCGAACGCTTTAACCACTAGGCTACCCCACCACCCCAACGCTCGCACGAACTAGCACGTATCAGCGTGTTCATAAAAGCTTTATACATACTAGTAAACATTTGTAATTAGTTTCCCACCTGAGATACTGTAGGTGAGACTGTCTCCTTCATCCGGGTCCTCGACAGATAGAAAGCCACCCACACCCATCCCCACTGGAAGTTCCTCGAGGAGTACCAGGGGTGGGATCAACGTTATCACAGGTTCCTCGTCTACCACGTTGCCAACGTTGATCGTGAGGGAGACGTTTGCAGTGTATGTGCCATCTGTCGCACTGTAAAAATCATTATATTGTAATTACAACGTAAACGTAACGTAAACTTTCCATAGTCAACAACATCGTGATTATATTACTCTGTATCTCATCTACATTGCATGGATTCTATAGCCGTGATAGTCAGAGGAATCTTAACCGATAACTTCCGATAACTTCAATACATATCATATATAATATATAATTTGACAGATGCAGCGCTGAGTGAGTGAGTGAGTTTAGTTTCATCAGAAATGGGCTTCGAGCATTGTACCCATGTGAGGAATCGAACCCGGGTCTTCAGCGTGAAGAGCGGGCGCTTTAACCATTAGGCTACCCACTGTCTCCTGTTGATTACGCTTGAGTTCAATGTTACCAAATATGTGATAAAAATGGACATGATCGTTTTCTCTTATACTCCAGAAAGTCTCATCTTAACATTCACTGCGACCGACGCCGACAACGGAACCAACGAACAGTCTCGACGGCAACAACGACGGATTGTTCCGACTTGACGGGGACATCCTCTACGTGCAGGTCATAGACTACGAAGGCTGATGAGCCAACACTTTAACCACCTCAACAATAACTTGCGCAGAAGCCGATGAAGCAGTCACTTAAAAACCCTCTCAAATGTGTTTGTATAATGTGTATCAGTATCTAGTTTCACTATCATTTGAGGTGAGTGAGTTTATTTTTACGCCTGCACCTCGGCGTGACGAGGATGCAGTGCTGAGACGGACTGAAGGATGGGTGAGGATGTTTAAAACAGCAGCCGAGGCCCATCCCCAATCCAACCCCACCCTCTTGGAGTGCTTGTGAAAGGCGAAGAACGGGGTAGGATGGTCAGATTGGCGGGTTTCTTTGTTACAGGGCGTAAATTTCCAATTGCGTAAATTGATGCTCATGATGTCAGTCACTGGTCCGGACTCGATTATGTACAAAACCGCCGTCACAAATTTTGAGTTAGGCGTTAAACAACAATCAAACATGTATTTTAGCTATATATTATGGTTTGTCAGCGAAGTGTTGGAAAAAAGCCTTTGACATCGCCGTTGACGTGAACTTTTATAGGAAAAAATCAGGCATCGAAAACTGGAAATGATTCAAGACTATTTTTAGTTATTCAAGGGACGTAACTCTGCATGGCGAGTTACAGCACTTAGAAGAACCCGTTGGCATTCCATTCAGACGTAACGGCGTATATACCCTTGTCGCGAAGTACTGGTTTCCGATCCTCAAAGCATTCGTAATGTTACGACCTATCGTAACTCTATAGTTTATCATAGGGTTACGCATGTGGCACTGCTACGTATACTTTGAGGATCGGGACCCTGGTTCATGTAATTTGTGAAGGGCGGTGGGGTAGCCTGGTGGTTAAAGCGTTGCTCATCACGATGAAAAGGCTCGGGTTCGATTCCCCACATGGGTACAATGTGTGAAGCCCATTTCTGGTTTTCCCCGCCGCGATATTGCGGGAATATAGCTTAAACCCAACTCACTCACTCACTCATATAATTTGAGGCACTACTTTGCCTAATACGTCCGATGTGAGCAAGTGAGTGAGTTTAGTTTTACGCCGCACTCAGCAATATTCCAGATATATGGCGGCGGTCTGTAGACAATCGAGTCTGGACCAGGCAATCCAGGGATCAACAGCATGAACATCTATATACGCAATTGGGATACGATGACATGTGTCAACCAAGTCAGTGAGCCTTACCACCCGATCCCATTAGTCGCCTCTTACGACAAGCATGGATTACTGAAGATCAATTCTAACCCGGATCTTCACGGGTACGTCCGATGTTATCGGTTTGGTAGACAATTGAGACCGATCATTCTCTCTGTATCTTTATCCGAGTGAGCGAGTGAGTGAAGTCACATTAAAGATCAATGCTAACCCGGAACTTCACGGGTCATCTTTACCTGAACACTACAGTGTGGCAGTGTTGAGTCTCATAGTCCAGTTCCTGTAGAAGTCTGAGATCAGATCCTACCACCTGGAACAAGATGGCGGATCCTCCTCTAATCTGAAAGTCGACGCTGTCGCCGTCGTAATCCTCTGCCTCCAGTTTGTAGATGTCAGTTCCTGGGGATACCGTCTCATTGACCGTCACCTCTGCCGCAACGTTCCTGAAGACGGGAGCGTTGTCGTTCACCCCTGTCAGAGTCAGTTTTAGGTTCGTCGCTATGGAGTTGGGAGTTGTTCCTTGGTCGCTGGCTTTTACAGCGATTTCAAAGTACTCAACGCCACCCGTTGCTAGGTCTCTGTCCAGGACGCCCGATGTTTTAAGAAGACCTGTCGACTTGTCCAGGAAAAAGAGACTGCTTCTATCAACTCCAGTTTCTGGAAGTAAGACCATGTGCAATAAATTCCGATTGTAGTGTGGATCGGGTGGTTGCACTATGTGAATTGGCTGGAAGTGTCATTGTGACTAATGTCATTGGCTGATTGTCTGAAACGTTTTGCAGTGACAAAGCCGTAATATTGCCTGCGGCGTAAAACAACATGCCAATATCTCCTCAATCCATGTTCAAATATATCGGGAGACATTTTTTTAAAATTAGTTACCTTGACCTTAGGTCTGACCTCATAAAGTGACCTTGCCCTTGTAGTTGGTGTCATGTACATGTCGGGACATGTCAAGGTGGTGTCCTGAAGTCGTATGTTTCCCATTGCTGGAGTACTCTACAATTAACCAGCTGTGTTTTATGTCTCAACAACCACCATGTAGGAACAATCCGTACCTTGTACAGTCACTCACACATACCATCAGTCACTGACGTAATCTCATATATAACGTCACCATCTTCGCCTGCGTCATCATCGACGGCCGTGACCTTGACAACATCAGAGCCAACTTGTGTGTCCTCGGGCAGAGTGAGGTCAGGGAAGCTACCAGAAATGAACACCTGTGGAGTTGTCCACACCGGACTGTGCTCGTTCTGGGGCTGGATCTGCCGGGAGAAGTAAAAGGCATACTGACGTCAATTATGCTGACGATAATCCAGTGACAAAATGGTACCCCAAAACGAAAATTAATATATCTCGTATTTATTCAACGTAAGTTCCGAGTGAGTGGGGGCGGTGGGGTAGCCTAGTGGTTAAAGCGTTCGCTCGTCACGCCGAAGACCCCGGTTCGATTCCCCACATTGGTAAAATGTGTGAAGCCTATTTCAGGTGTCCCCCGCCGTGATATTGCTGGAATATTGCTAAAAGCGGCGTAAAACCATACTCACTCACTCTGAGTGAGTGAGTTTAGTTTTATGCCAATTTTAGGAATGTAAACTGACGTTCATTTGATTTTTGGTAAAATGTTTTCTTTAAAACAGCATTAATATTTTAAAAAGTGTTTTGATTCTGCCTTGTCACAAACATTGTGCAAGTGTTTCCAAAACACCAGATATTGTACCCAATTACAACATTGCTAGCGAAATATTTATGGTTTTAATTGAAATATTATGAACGTCAGTATATATTTAGAGAATAGAATCGGGCCTTCGGCGTGGCGAAACGCTTTAACTTGAATTATGAGTTTCGACCTTAAGGGACCAAGAATTGAAAAGAATTCCATCCGGATTCCTGGCTCGAGTCAAAGGGTTGTATTGTGTGGTTTGACTGATCTCTCCTCCATATCAAATCCATCGATCACTGCTCTATCTGGTTAAACCGATATTAGAGTCAAACACCGTTGTTTCGAGTTTGACTACCGTAAATACTTCGAGTTATCGGATTTGGACACAATCGAAAAATGATGAATTAAAAAGGAATATACAGTAGACGTAGACGTAGGTTCTACTTCGAGACAACGATAAGTTCGATACAACGATGTTAGACAATGTATTTCTGGAGCGTTATAAACAGCTATCAATTGATTCTCATAATTAACTTTATATTTGTTGGTTTGTGTTCGGGGAGGATCTGGGAGACCAGGGGACACCCGACCAATATGTCTTGGGCACCTTTCGACAGTATTGCTATTGCTACGACTACCGCTTATGCTATGTCAATATGGGACCATGGACCCCGGAACTGTACCTAAGACATGTTTGATTTGTGACACAACCTAAAGAATCCCTAACAAGTACCTGAGCTATGATTGTAACAGCGCCGGTTTTGGCAGCTTCGGTCGTGGGTTGGTCGACGGCGCCTAACGTGACGATGTAGGGAACAGAAGCTGTCGATACTCTCGTAGTCGATGGTGGAGCTGGCAGCGTGTACCTCCAGCCCCACCAGGTTGAAGTAGTTAAGGTCGTCACCGTCAGTGATGGACAGGACAAAATTTCCGTTGTCGCCGGAGTCGTTGTCGTAACATGATAACGTGGCTACCAACCCTGAACAAAAATACTGAGGATTATTGGCGTGAATTATTTCGTTTCGTTTTGTAATTTCAAAAAATATAAAAACGAAAAAAGCAAATTGCATTGGTTTACAAAGGCTTGGCTTATGGGCGCTCACACCTTTCCGCCCAAGCAGATTCAACTGGACACAAATAGCAAAACAGTGATGAAAATAATATGAATGAAGTGTTAAAAATCAGTGATGACGACATCAGTAATGTCCTACCGTCCGGCTCCCCTTCAGTAATGTTGACTTTGAACAGAGTCTGTGAACATTCTGGGGCGTTGTCGTTGACGTCCAACACACTGATGTTGAGATTCGCGCTGCTGCTGTGTCCCGCAAGGTCAGTTACAGTTAAGGTTAGGTCATCAAGGACGGTAACTCCGCTACTTCCGTCCCTGTCTATCCTGGCCTTGACCTTCAGTTCTCCTGTTGACGAGTCAATCTCAACATACTGGCTGTGAGAACCTGTCACAAAGAGATGGTTTACTTTTTAAGGTGGCCAGCGTATTCGACGTACACACGTAAACCGTGAAGATCCGGGTTAGAATTGATCTTCAGTAACCCATGCTTGTCGTAAGAGGCAACTAACGGGATTGGGTGATCAGGCTCGCCGACTTGGTTGACACATGTCATCGTATCGCAACTGCGTAGAGTCTGGTGTCTATGGGAATGAGCAACGAGCTACTGCGTCAAGGTACCGTATCACTTTCACAACAAGGTCACTGTTGATCACTGGATTGTCTGGTCCAGACTCGATTATTTACAGACCGCCGCCATATAGCTGGAATATTGCTGAGTGCGGTGTAAAACTAAATTCACTCCCTCACGTACACAAAAACAAAATAATCTGGACAAGTCTCCTCGTGATCAGTTCAGAAATATACAAGCATGCAACAAATTAATCCATTTTCACAATTTGCAACAATAAACCCGAAAGATTTTGAGATTCTAATTTCATATTTGTCAAAGAGTTCAAGGTCTTTTGAAAGTCATTACATCTGCGACCTTATTTTCACATATATAAACACATTTCATAAATACTCCTGTACATCTGAACAATGTGCAAACGAAACAAACAAATCCGATATAATGATGAGTTAAAAAGACATATTCGAGGCTACATCGATACTTTCAAATTTATTGTTCTCTATACGTACCGCTGACGGCAAAGCTGAAGCTGTCGTCGTCGTCCTTGTCGATGACGTCGTACACCCCTCCAATTACAGTCCCCACCGGAAGTTCTTCCGGTATAGATACAGAGCTGTGAAGCGTCACTTCCGGTGAATTGTCATTGACGTCTGTTACGTTGATCGTCAAAGTCACGTTGACATCATGGAGGCCGTCAGATGCACTAAAATATGGGACATCGATATTAATACTTGCTCTGTCGGAACAGTCAGTAATGGAATAGAATGTTAGCGAGTCATACGAATGATTAAACAAGAAGCAATGCATAATGTAATGACTTTATTCTTGAGTCTCAGGTGTTCAGTCTATATCCCGACGACCTCTGGGTTGTCTAACCTAGACTCCCACCCTTCGTGTTGACACGCAGTTTTGCCAAGCCTGACACCAGAAATGGGTTTTGTACATTGTACCCATGTGGGGAATCGAACCCGGGTCCACTAGGGTACGCCACCGTCCCAGGTTATTATAACCTGGATCACTATGGTGTGAAAATCTATAGAACACCGCTTCTAACTAGGGTCCATGATGCCAATTTAAGGATTCCACCGTGGTGGACCAATAAGTGTCCACGATCAAGCTAGGGACCGTTCATAACTTATGGTTAAAGAAAGAGTGTACAATGTAAAATTTATGTACAAAATTGATGACACCCCCACCCCCCGACAAAATGGGTGACCGCTCTTAAAATCATCATCAAAACAAACGCACACGCACGCACACACACACCTCGCCATAAATTATGAACGGTCCCTTTAATTATGCGCGAATGAATGAGCACCGAGTTACTGCGTCAGAGTACCATATCACGCTCTCAACTAGGTCATATATGATATCACAGGGCGCTACTTTAGATACTAAGCTGGTTCCCGGCTCCCTTTGCGCGCGCCAACTTGCGATTTGCGAGACGGGATCCAGCTTACTTCCGGTACCGGATTACCGGTGACAAGCGTATATTCAAGGACCAGTTCTGGTTCCAAATTGTGCGACCGCCAAATATGACTTTACTATACCGGACCATGCTCGGCTGTCACAGTCGTAATAGTTGGCCAATTTTGGGATGGTTAGATCGGAAATTTGTTATTTTGCAAGGATTATTGGTTCTTTACTGTCAACTGACACCCACGAGACCATTCGAAAAGGTATGAAACGTTGTTTATCACCGGAAGTACTAAGGTCTCGCGAAGCGCCGTGACTTACTTACGGGCCCAATGGCTTGCCGCCCTTACTACAAGCTTGTAATAACAAATGCGGTCCTACGCCGATTATCCACTGGGTATTAATAGTAGGATATACTAGGTTTCACTTTGGTACAATGCCATGAAAGTCTTAAAAAACATCCAAACATTAGTAATGATTTAATATCACTATACGTCATCGTTCACTCTCGAAGTCTAACAGTAAAAAGTCTAAAAATATCTACTGTCTTGTATACCTGATCACAATGGTATGGCATCTGACAGATTCAAAGTCTAAAATGCCCGTCGTTGTCACAGACGTCCCGTCAAAGCTAAACAAATCAGCGCCCTCTGTCACTGATGACGTCACGGTGTCAAGGTCGATGTCCTTGACCTCAAGAGTGAACACAATGTCGCCAATAGCTGTGTCTTCGGGTATGTCATGGTGAAAAACTGACGCCCAGATGGTAGGGGGATTGTCATTGGTGTTGGTCACGTGAATGGTCTGTGTGGCCTGGATTGACCTTTCACCCCCGTCTTTCGCAGAGATGATGACGTCATATCTGCTTGTTCCTCCTGTCTCTGTGTCGGCGTCTGGTGTGGCCGTCATCCAGAGTGAGCCGACGATAGGATCGACGAGGAACAGACTAGAGGCGTCGCTGCCTTCGGCTGAAAGGAAGAGGAACACTGACAATGATTTCACGTCACAGAATCTGTTAGATGCGGCAGAAAAACCGTTAATGAGAATTATTGTACATATTTAACAGTATAGATTCAAATCCGCGATAGGAACCCTTGCAATCAAGAAACCTTCGGCTCAAAGAACTCTCACATTTGTCTTGGTCGTTCGACCAATGGTTTCAACTGGTTCCCCCTGACACTGGCTAAAAATTCAATTCATGTAAATTTCCCCATCATTCACAGAAAGCCAGCCAGAAATAACATAACTGATAATTTTGACTGAAATATCGTTTTAATCACAAGCGATCACATCACCACACGAGTGGGCGACTGGATGCTTGATGAGTTAATAAAACTATACACCGAAGTGTCAACATCACTAAAAGGCAGGGATAAGTCAGGAGAGAAAAAACAATAGTGGGAAATATAATGTTTTTCGGGTTTTACATGTTTGTTTTTATGTCATGTTTAACATGCTGTATCCAAGATAATGCTGAACACTTTATGTACGGGGCGATTGGGTAGCCTAGTGGTATAAGCGTTCGCTCGTCACACCGAAGACCCGGGTTCGATTCCCCACATGGATACAACGTATGAAGTCCATTTCTCGTGTCCCCCGCCGTGATATATTGCTGGGATATTGCTAAAAGCGGCGTAAAACCATACTCACTCACATTATGTACACACTCAGGGTTCCAACCAGGTGCGAAGAATATAATTAGGATTATTATATAAACACAACACTCCTGTTCCATCAGTTAAACAATATGGCTCATGGTGACCATTTCAAAACGCAAAACCTATATTATTCTTTAGAGAATAAAAGCAAATTAAAACATTTGACGTTTAATTTTAAAGTGTCTGAAAACGTATTCCATGAGGACTCAGATAAAGATTTACCCGTTGTAGCTGATGTAACACTATAAGTGACTTTTCCATGGTCACCGTCGTCATCGTCGGTAGCGTTGTAGGTCACGATGCTCGTCGTCACTGCTGCTTCAGGTATTGTTACATCCGGAAACTGACCTCCTGCAGGCGCGGGAGACACCCATGTCGGGTCGAACTCGTTGACCGGTAAAATCTTGAATTTTAAGACACGTATCATGATTCGTATTGACTTCATGTCGATTATGGTATCATTAATTGATTTTTATTGTATTGACTGATTGTATTGACTTTGTGATATATGTTCATATTAATGATGGTATCATGAATTGTATTGCCTTATTGTATTGACTTCGTGATATACTGTTCACATCTATGAAGGTATCATGAATTGTATTGACATTTTTATTGACTTCGTGATATAATGTTCACATTGCTCATTGTACCATGAATTGTATTGACTTCGTGAGGTTATGTTTATATCGATGAAGATGTCCTGTTACTGCACATCTTTTAAATAATAACAATCATATGTACACGATGTATAATACATATAACAGTCTGTGTAGTAGTGGGGCGGTGGGGTAGCCTAGTGGTTAAAGCGTTCGCTCGTCACGCCGAAGACCCGGGTTCGATTCCCACATGGGTACAATGTGTGAAGCACATTTCTGGTGTACCCCGACGTGAAATTGTTGGAATATTGCTAAAAGCGGCGTAAAACCATACTCACTCACTCACTCACTGTAACTGGCCTATAGGGTGAGGTTAGTTTTACGCCGCTTTTAGCAATATTCCAGCAATATCACGGCGCTGACCTATAGGACCTCCTCCGTTGTCTATTGGATGGAGTGTCCGACCGCAGAACGAATTGTCGGCGGTTTGAACCCACGGCCGCGTCATATTAAACAGACATTAAAAGATGGTACTTGTTGCTACCCAGCCTTGCCCACGGCCTCAGACAAGGACTAGTCGCATCTCTCTCACCTACATCCTGCGTATCCTGAAAAAGCGCACTCTTGATTTGTGAAACAATCTAAAGAATCCCTAACAAGTACCTGAGCTATGATTGTGACAGCGCCGGTTTTGGCAGCTTCGGTCGTGGGTTGGTCGACGGCACCTAACGTGACGATGTAGGGAACAGAAGTGTCGATACTCTCGTAGTCGATGGTGGAGCTGACAGCGTGTACCTCCAGCCCCACCAGGTTGAAGTAGTTAAGGTCGTCACCGTCAGTGATGGACAGGACAAAATTTCTGTTGTCGCCGGAGTCGTTGTCGTAACATGATAACGTGGCTACCAACCCTGAACAAAATAATGTACCGAGAATTATTGGCGTGAATGTTTTTCGTTTCGATTGTAATTTTAAAATAAATAAAAACGAAAAAAGAGCACCGTCGTCAACGTAAGGGATGGGCAGGAAAAAATTGCCGTTGGCGCCGGAGTCGTTGTCGTAGCAACGTAATGTGGCTACCAACCCTGAAACAACATGGCTGAAACTGAAGAAGAGTTCTACAGTTTGGTTAATGTGATTGATGTTGATGGATCCCAATCTAACGGTAAAAGTATCCGACGATTGAGCAACGAAAGTTTGCTTGAAAAGCTTGGTGTTCATTAGTTATGACATTCGGTAATTGTTGTTACCAACCGGGCTGGAACTGGCCATCAGTAGCCCATGTGTGTTGTTACAGGTGGTCAGGCTCGCTGACTTGGTTGACACATGTCATTGTATCCCAGTTGCGTAGATCGAAGCTCATTGTGTCGATCACTGGATTGGTTGGTCCAGACTTGATTATTTACAGACCGCCGCCATGTAGCTGGAATATTGCTGAATGCGATAAAACTAAACTAAATTGGGATACGATGACATGTGTCAATCAAGTCAGCGACGCTGACCACCCGATCCCGTTAATCGCCTCTTACGACAAGCATGAGTTACTGAAGATCAATTCTAACAAGGATCTTCAAGGGTCTTTTCGGCTTGGAGTCAATATAGTGTTCAGCTGCAACATAAACTGAAGTACAAAAGAAACTACACACCTGGTACCTGGCAACGTAGCAATGTTTCACGACACTCTTAGGTTGTTTGGCAACGTGAACACAAAATATACTTTTGAAAATATTTCCGTTTTTAAGTAACAAAAGGTGAGTACTTTTTGTTGTATGTCAGGTTAGTATATCAGTAGACAAGCAGGGGCTCGCGCGCTATTCGCGTTATAGCTCCAATACTCTTGGACGCAACGTTGAAAACCGCTCCACATGGGGGCGGTGGGGTCGCCTACACGATCCCGTCACGTGGGTGAATGAAGTTGATGTTTCTGTAATAAAATTTTGTTCAAACGATGTTCAATCAATTGTATTTCTACTGCCAACAAGGCGTGAAAGGTTCCAACTTGCACAAAGACCATTGCTCATATGCCTAAAGGGGCGGTGGGTAGCCTAATAATTAAGGCGTCCGCATGAATACCCCACTCAGACACCGTGTAGACCAGTCCTCGTTGTACCCATTAGTGGCGAGCGCCAGGCAGGAACCAACAAGTACCATATTTTAACGTCTTTTGGTATGACGCGGTCGGGGATCGAACCCGCAACCTTCCGCACTCCGGGCGGGCGCCTTGTCATTAAAGCGAGGGCTCGTCACGCCGAAGGCCCGGGTTCGATTCCCCACATGGGCACAATTTGTGAAGACCATTTCTGGTGTCCCCCGCCGTGACATTGCTGGAATATTGCTAAAAGCGGCGTAAAACTAAACTCCCTCACTCGTATGCCTTAAACACATGGCCGCCGCCGCCGATGTCAAAGGTCGCTTTGTTCAAGTAGGCCTCTGGCATAAAACGTCAAAAAGCGAGACTACCCAGTGACAGTTTTACACCAAAACAGATTCCGTTGAGCACAAAAGGCAAAACAGTGATAAAAATTATAAGAATTGAAGACCATCAGTGACGTCCTACCATCAGGCTCCCCTTCAGTGATGTTGACTTTGAACACAGTCTGTGTACACTCGGGGGCGTTGTCGTTGATGTCCAACACAGTGACGTTCAAGTTGACGCTTGCACTGTGACCTGCAAGATCTGTCACGGTCAAGGTCAGGTCATCAAGGAAGGTAACTCCATTATCTCTGTCTATTCTGGCCTTGACTTTAAGTTCTCCAGTATTTGGATCTATTTCAAGGTACTGGTTGTCCGTTCCTGAAACATAAATGCTGACTCGTCTAATCTGCTGTCATCAAAACATCACAGGGGTCTGGGGTAGCCTTGTGGTTAAACCGTTCGCTATACCCGGGTTCGATCCGTGAAGATCCGGGTTAGAATATTGATCTTCAGTAATCCATGCTTAGAGTAAGAGGCGACTAAGGGATCGGGGTGGTCAGGTTCGCTGACATGGTTGACACATGTCATCGTATCCTAAATCGAAAGATGCTCATGCTGTTGATCATCGGACTGTCTAGTCCAGACTCGATTATTTACAGACCGCCACCATATAGCTGGAATATTGCAGAGTGCGGCGTAAAACAACTGTTAAACCAACAGTCATGGAGTAATAACAACTGATGGAATGTCTAACAGGTAACATTGGCATGTGATTCTCGTGCATGACCTGAGGTTACACTTGCAATGGGCGTAACAGAAGCTATATAATTAGAATCTACACCTCAGTCATCTTGGAAAAGTTCACGGACTATAAGACCATTTTCTTCGGGCCATTCCAGTCTCCAACATACCCATGGCGCAGGGACTCTGATGCCGTGCATGACGTACGCGCAGTTTAGATTGAAGTTCAAGTGTTTTCCACAACATTCAGAGGCAGGACAATAATCAACCGTTCTTCAATTTTAAAACCAGGTGTGTGAACTTCAGGTGTCAAAAAGCATGCAAAAAGTAAGTAAGTTCATTGTGCACAAATGCACGCGCGATATGTGACATCAAATTTCATGTAAAGTGCTTTAGACGGGGGAATATACGCATCACACCACACTACCCTTGAAAAATTCTAACAAAAGGTTTCTCAGTGGTTTTCACTTCTACTTGGTATGGTTATCAACAGAAAAAAAGTCTACCAAAATCCCACTGTGCAAAAGGGGTTAAAATCGGTTATTTCTATAACATGGTATCAAGCAGCAGCCAACTACAAGCGATACAGATGAAGAACAAGTTTTTAGGTGAGTAGTATCCACTGCTTGTTTACATTGGAGACAACACATTTGCCAGCATATTTACATGAAGTCTTCTTCCTGCCCATAATGTCAATTTAATGGAAATGGTAATTATTGAGATATGAATTTTGTTGAGTTAGAATATACATCAGCTTAAACTACTCCAAAAAATGGTGTATGATATTAAATGTATAAGTAAATCCATCTCAATGAATGTGCTGTCTGCTATGATGTCAATATGACCATCAGAAGCATATCTACATCGAATAATGGGTAATCTATAATAAAACTTATGATAATAGTTGTTAAATACCAAACAAACAAGATTCACAACAATGTTCATTGAGGAAATTGTAATATAAAGCTTAAATTCAAAGAAAAGTGCAGCAAATTTACAACACCTCCAGCCCCTCTGCTTGGAGCCAAGCTCCTCTGCAGTGTGTTTCACTTTCTCTGCATGGAGTTTGACCTATATAAAAAACTGTTTTCTTGATGCCTTATCATACATTCTTAAATACCCAGATGAATTTTTTTTTAAGTAGTACCTACTTTTTTATCATAATTTCCTATAAAGTTACATGTGAACCATTTTAAACAATTAGTTTTTATATTGATTGATATAATTTCCACAAACATAAAACACTTAATAAGTGCCCTGATTAAGAAAATGAATCTGAATTTTAATGTTTTTTTCAAATAAAATATAATGCAAAAAATCCTATTTTGATCATGATATTTTAGATTTATAGTAATGAATGAACATGAAATATTTAAGTGCTTTGCCTAATAAAATTCAACTGCATGAATATAAGATCTTGCTATTTAATTTGGATTTTTGAACAAATAACTATCTAAAAGCATTGACATATGAATAGGTATGAAAATGTTATTATCTCTACATATATTTTTGGTTATAATAAAACTTAAGTTTAATGTTGTCTTATGATGTTCCAATATACTAGTATTAGCAAAAAACTTTGAAATCGAGGAAAAATAAAAATGTTTTATAGGAAATAAATATTACCATCTTTTCTCTATATAAATGCCAGTGTGAATTGTACCACTGTTTCATCATTTGTTTCAGACCACAGTTGGAGAACACTTATTCAAGTGTCAGTTATGTCTGAAAAGACTTGACAATAGCCGTGACATTGTGAAAATTCGTCAGAAGGAGCCGATGGTATCAACGCTGCTAGTGCTCAGAGAGGTGATGACATTAGTGTGGAAAGCAGGATGCAAGGTGCACTTGCACTGTCATAAACAGTATATCAATCAGCATGATATTGAAAATCAGAAGAAGAAACAAGAGACGCAAAAACCCCCTTTGAAGCGAAGTTCTCGTGTTTTGAAGGATACTTTCAATAGTAATTCCGACTGTATATTTTGTGGTAACACAGTTTCCTTGCGTAGTCCAGATTTCAGCTACGTTAAGACTTTCAACTTTGCAAAATCAATACTAGATTGTTGCGAAAAAAGATGTGATGATTGGTCTCTTGCAGTGAAAGGACGCATTCAGTACTATGGAGGAGATCTGCATGCAGCCGATTGCATCTATCATCATCAGTGCAGTGTACACTTCCGTAATGGCAGTGATGTACCAGTCAAATTTCGTGATGTCCCTAGAACTAAAACACCTGGGCATCCTAAAGACAGTGATCAAGAGCAGGCTTTGCTAAAAGTGTTTGTATCTCGAGGACAATGATGAGAACAGATGACTATTACATACCTTCGGGAAAGAATGAGGAAGCATCTGATGGGTGAAAATTCTTCCCCCTACACCAACTCCCATTTGAAGAACAAACTGAAGGAACGCTATGGGGACTCTATCTATATAGCTGACAGAGAAGGACTAAGTGACATTATCACATTCAGGAGAAAACATCTAATATCCTCCAAGCATATTACAAAAAATGCAGAACGTGAAGGTGACGAGGAAACACAAAAAGAAGGCCATAATTGCGACCGCTGCAAGATTGATCAAGAGTGACATTAAAACAGATGTACCAACTTCTACTGATTGCTATCCAAAGTCAGAAGAACTTGACTTGATTCTGCACTGTCATTCCTTCCAGATACACTACAGAACTTGCTCAACTGTCTGTTTGTTGGAAAGAACAAATCAAGAAAGTTGCTGCTATTGGCCAAGCCATAATACAGGCAGTCAGACCAAGGGCTGTTATTGCACCTCTCCAGATTGGCCTCGGGGTACAAGTGCATCACCTTTATCGCTCAAAATTCCTTGTGGAAACATTGTCTTGCATGGGGTACAGTTCATCATACAGGGGAAGTATTACGCTTTGAAAAAATGCTGCAAGTTGTGTCACACCCGACTTGCTGCTTGAAGAGCAGGATGTGCCAGACATATCAGTATTGTTTGCCTGTGACAATGTTGATCACAACACCATTACCATCGATGGAAAGGTACCTTTCATGGAATGGGCATGATAGCTGCAATGACTCCAGGTGGAAAATCATGTCATCTGGTAACAAGGCAAAGAACATCAGAACTGAACATTGCAAGAATGTCAAAAATTGATATTAAAGAATACAGATTCACCAGCCATGTTCTTCACAAGGTTAAGTTCAAACACCTCCCTTGTTTTTCAGGCCTGTGACAGAATGGTTGATATTTTATGGGAACTATCCTTCAGTTTCAAGCAGACAGTTCCGAATTGGCAGGGGATGATGCACATCCTTCATCAAAAACAGAAACATCCCGGTGTGTCCTCTATAGTCTATCTGCCCATGATTGATATGTATCCAGGTGACAAGTCATGCATTCTGTCAACGTTGGAATACCTGACCAGCCTATCCTTCAGACACAATATCTTTCCAGTGGTAACATTCGACCAGCCCTTGTATTGGAAAGCATCCGAGGTCATTCAAGCTGCACCAGGGAATAGCCCTTTTGAAGAGTATCATACTTAGGCTAGGTACATTCCACATGTTCATGAATCTACTTGGAGCAATAGGCACACTGATGGCTGGGTCCAGGTCTGAAAACATTCTGGAAATAGTGTATGGTAAAAATGCCGTGGTTCATATGATGTCTGGCAAGGCTGTTCAAAGGGCATTTCGTGGGCACCTTCTAGTTGACAAATGTCTCCACCAAATGATCTTGAAATCGGCAGTGGAAGATAACCCAGATCTTGCAAACCATGTGCTTGAAATTGAGAAAATTTATTCCTCCTTGTTAAAGGGAGACAAACACATTGAAGAACTAAGACAATCAGTGTCCTTCATTCAAGTGATCAATGAACTTGACAAAAGAGGTCCAAACTTAGTGTGCAGACTCCAAAACAAGCCAGTTGTGGATAGGCTATCAGAAGATGTTTGTCACGGCTCGAGAACTGATCAAAGCTGATCGCACTGGATCCTGGGATGATCATCTCTGTGCTATAGCTAATGCATTGCCAATATTTGCTGCAGCTGGACATTACAACTACCTAAAATCGGCTTACCTCTATAGTCAAGATATGGCTGAGCTGGACACCAGAAACCCAGAAGTTTTTAAGAAGTTTCAAGATGGTTTCCATGTGATCCGAAGAACAAACCAGTTTTGGGCAGGCCTCAGTAGTGATCTAGTCATCGAACAAACACTAATGAGATCAATAAAAAGCACAGGAGGCTTGACCCATGGCAGTAAGATGACAGAAGAACAGCGAACACTATGGACAATGTCAGCACCCATTACCTCTGAGTTGAACATTGCCATGCAAGACTTCAATGAACTCACATACTCCACAAGTGAGCAACATAAAGAAGCCAGTGTCGCCAGGATTGAGAGAGACGCTTCTGATCTGTTGAAGATACATTCCAAACTCTCTTCTTGCTATCCTTTCACCTCAGACCCTGCGTTGAGAAATATCATCAATGGTATCGTTGCAAACGAGGATGCAAATGTTCATGAATATGACTCAATAGGGAAAAATATTATTGACAAAATGGTTGGACAGCCCGTATATTCTTTCCCCATCAAAAGGAAAGAGAAAGCCAAGACCTTGGGAAATTCTACTGCTGTCCAGGTTGCTCCTGACAGAACAATGGATCCCAATTTGCTGTTTCAACGATTCCTGGTGGTGTCAAGAACAGGGGATTTTGCATTTGAAGAAGTGCTGAAATATGAGTTAAGTCCATACCCACCATCTCTGTTTGAGGACAATAAGATTATGAGAAAGGCAGACAAACCTCAACTAGCTGAAGCTGTCAATGATCACTGTAAAAAGATAGCAAGATGTGATCACACATCAGATGTCATCCCACAGACTGAAAAGTATGTGCTAGATGGAGGCTCCTTGCTACACAAGCTAAAGTTGAACAACGGTGACACTTACGGGAAAATTGCCAAGGGATATGCAGATTTCACAACAAGGCACTATGGGATGGCAACTATTGTTTTTGATGGGTATGGGACTGGCCCTTCAATAAAGGATAACACACACCAACGGCGGGGACAAAAAAACAGCTTCCGGATTGTTAACTTTACACATGAAACTGAATTTGAAGGGAAGAAGGAAGAGTTCCTATCCATAGACAAAAACAAACAAGGTTTAATCAACTTGATAAGTGAGA